CTTGGTCACGGGGGAAAAAGTCTCAGAGTAGTCAATACCATACTTTTGAGCAGAGCCTTTTACGACAAGGCGAGCCTTGAGGCGTTCAAGTATACCATCCGCCTTAACTTTGGGGGTCAACACCCATTTACACCCAATAGCTTTCTTTCCTGCTGGTAAATCTACTAAAGTCCATGTGCCAGCACAATGAAGGGCTGCCATCTCTTCTTCCATAGCAGTAAGCCAACCCGGGTGGGACAAGGCTTCATGAAGAGACTTAGGTACTGAAATAGTATCTACAGAGGCAACAAAGGCACGAGAAACAGAAGGGAGGTGGTTATGTGAAACAAAGGAAGAAATAGGATGTGCACAAATACGTTTACCTTTGCGAAGGGCAATGGGCAAATCAAGGGAGGGATCTGGACCTGGAACAGGAGGTGTCTCAGAGTCAATTGAGGGATCGGTATCTAGACTTGGAACCGGGTCAAGCTCAGGGTGCATGATGCTTGCTGCAGGATCAGATGACGAAGCAGATAATGGTGGAGCAGAATGTGGCGCAACAGTAGGAGTAGTTTCCTTCAAACGTCTAGTGTAGACCCGAGACAAAGGTGGTTGACCAGGTGCCAATACGGGAGCTGGTGGTAAGCTTGGACTAACAGAATATAGCAGAAAGGTATCCTCCTCCACCGGTAGAGAAGGTGAAGCAGAAGCATTAGATGCAAAGTAGGCAACAGATTCCTGAAAAGTGACATCGGCTGAAACCAGATAACGATTCAGAGTAGGAGAAAAGAGTTCATTAGATAACTCTTTTGAACTCGAGAGTAGCCAAGAAAGACACATTTAAGAGACTTGAGATCCAATTTGGAGACCGTGGGACGCACATTCCGAACAAAACAAACACAGCCAAAGATCTTAGGATCAATAGGGAACAAAGCTTTGGAAGGAAAGAGAGTGGTGTAGGGAATGTTACCATCAAGGATAGAGGAGGGCATGTGATTAATAAGAAAGCAAGCTGTGGAGACCGCATCTGCCCAAAATGGTTTTGGAACCTACATTTGAAATAAAAGTGCACGGGCCACTTCTAATAAGTGACGATTTTTTCTTTCGGCAACACCATTCTGAGCCGGTGTATCCACACAGGAAGATTGATGAAGAATGCCGTATTGAAGCATAAAAGAGCGAAAGGATTCAGAAAAATATTCTTTAGCATTATCACTGTGCAAGGTGTGGACAAGCGTATTAAATTGAGTTTTAATTTCGGCAACAAAAGTACAAAAGTGAGAGAAAAGCTCAGAACGATTTTTCATTAAATATAACCAAGTGGTACGGGAATAATCATCAACAAATGTGACAAAATATTTAAAACCACCTTTGGACTCAACTGGACACGGACCCCAAATATCGGAGTGCACAATTCAAAAGGGGACGAAGCCCGTTTATTGACTCTAGACACTAACAGTAGACGATGATGTTTAGCAAACTAACACGACTCACAGTCTAAAGACGACAAGTGCTGAAACTGAGGATAAACCTTTTTTAAAGAGGATAAAGATAAATGACCCAAACGACAATGTGCTTCAAATGGAGTGACACCACCAGTACAAGCTACCGCATGAGACCCCTGATCATCAAGGAAGTAATGTCCGCCAGATTCGTAACCCCTACCAATAATCTTCTTCGTCAAAAGATCCTGTATCAAGCAATGGTCAGGAAAAAGTGAGACCCAACAATTTAATTGACGAGTAAGCTTGCTAGGGGACAAAAGGTTAAAAGCAAGATTCGGGACATTGAGTACAGATTTTAAATGAATAGAAGGAGTAGGTTTAACAATGCCAGATCCAAGGACACGAGAGTGGGAACCATCTGCAATGGTGATAGCAGAAGGGTTGGCATAAGAATTATAGCTAGAGAAGAGATGACGGTTACCTGTCATGTGGTCAGTAGCACCAGAGTCTATGATCCATTTGGAGGAAGAAGAGACAAGGGCAGTAGCCTTATTACCTGTTGCACTAGCAGCGCTCACGGGGGGATTTGCAAACTCCAATTGAGCATACTCGGCAGCTGAGATAGTAACCATGTCATTGGCTGTTGTGGCCACATGGGCAGAGCTCTGTCGTTGTTGTTTGTTTTGCAGCTTACAACATATGCATTTAGTATGTCCCGGTTCCTTGCAGTAGTAACATATCACTTCCTTGGGCTCCTGATTACCACCTCCTGGTTTCAGACCACTACGATTAGGGAGCCCTCGATTGTCATTCTAGCCTCGACTGAGTAATGCATTAGTAGGTGTAATGGGAGCTGAGGAAGGGTTTTGTTCAGTTCTCAATACATGAGAGAAAGCTTCTTCAAGAGAGGGGATTTCAGCTCCAGACAAAATTTGCGATTGAGCAGCCGCATATTGAGATGGCAGTGCAGTCAGAAAACTCATGGTGGCCATCTGCTCGCGGTGAGACACATTAACTTTCCTGTCATCAGAAATAGGCATAAGAACATTGAGCTCTTCATAGGTGCTTTTAAAATCCATAAAGAAGTTTGTGAGGGAACGGTCAACTGGCATCTCGGACCGATAGAATGATCTGCAGACCTCGTAAATACGAGAGATGTTGTTCTTTCCTGAGTATAAGAGTGCCAAATAATCCATTAGTTCTTTAACAAATTCACAATGAGTAATAGAAGGCATGATCTCATTGTCAATAGAGTTATGAAGTTGTAACAGAAGCCGTGCATCATCTCTTAACCATGACTTATGAGAGGCATCCTTTTCATCAGGAGGATTGTCAATCAAGTGATCTTCCTTCTCAATACTCCGAAAATAAATACGAATAGTTTTACTCCAATCCAAATAATTTTTCCAAGTTAGTTTGTGTTCAGTAATCTTAGTGACTACTGGAACCACTTCAGGGACAACAGACTTGTTATCACCCATTAGGATAATAATTATCACAGTAACACTAATCAGCCAAATGGATCATACTAGGGACCACAGAATAAAAAGTAGATCAGAATTCTACAAACCAAAGCACCAACGCTTTCTCAGGAAGCCAAAAGTGCTCTGAATCACAACAAACAATGGGACCCAGGAAGTAGAAGCAGCAAGGAAGGGTCAGAACAGAAGTCATGACGCCGGAAAACGAGAGAAGACGTCGGAAAGCGAGAGAAGACGCCGGAAAAGGCTACGACGAGACGACGCGTGAACTGAACAGAACAGCAGTGGAGGGTGACGGCACGTGAAGGCCACGCGCTGCTCGGACGGCGACGAGACTCTGGTGGTTGGCCAATCGGGACCCTGCGACCTCCGTTGACTGGCGGGTGTGCATTGTAGAGGACGGGAGGCTGGAGTTCTGTGAACAGTGCAGGGACGGTGAACAGTGCAAGGACGCTGAAGAACCGAAAAGAAAACTTTTTTTAACCTAATAAACCTGCTCTGGTACCATGTAATTGAATGGAAATTGTGTATTTTATTGATACTTCGATTAGGTATTTATATACAATAGAGGAGCCTAGGTATTAATGGCTCATTACTATGAAATCATATCATATTGTATCCTATATACTAATTCCAGGATATTTACATATCTTATAATATCTCCTATAATATCTCTACAAAACCAAAGGATCCGCAGCCGACCAAAAAACTTCAGATAATTGAGTGCTTTCCCCGAATAATTAATATTTCTATAACTTAAACTAGAGCGGTAAGTAAGAGAAGCAACATAAGAGATGTAAATAGAAATGGTTAGATTACCCAACAGAAGTACACAAATTAAAAGTACTGGATATTCCTTGATAAAGGGGCTTAATGTAGTTGGACGTGGATCAATTACAATAAAGTAACTAACCAGCTAACCCAGATATTGCTATTAAACCATGAGAAAGAATGAACAAGTTAAGACTAGAAGCAGCACCTCATATTTACGGCCAACAGAAATATCCATAGAGGACTATTTTTTGTTTGTTTCAACAGAACAGATTCCTTAGAAATCGTTTCTGACATGAAAGTACTGTTTATGTTTGTTCTTGATAAAATTGAGCTTAGAGGCTTCGCCTAATAAAAGCCATGCATCTGGTTAGCTATTATATGAGAGGAATCAAATTTGTGGATTATTTCATGTTTCTAAATAACATATACAGCAACCAAACCAATGGATTATTTTAAAAGTCCACATAAAAGCTTTGAACCTGTTGACCAAAACTAGCCTTTAAATATTTCACTCGCGTCTTCTTCAGGATATCCAAGCTGTGATTCATATGAATTCAATCCCGAACAACCTTCACTGCCTGTTTTGGCATACTGCCACCATTAGATTATATGGAATGGAGAAAAAAAAATTAATAAGTAATTCAACTTGATGATATGACATAACCTGCAGGTGAAGATGGGGCAGCTTCATGGATTACATTTTCTGGTGGCTGTTTCAAAGATGAGGAGGGTGGCAATTGCCCACCAAAGTATTTTTCAATAATTGAACATGTTTCCTAGCAACAATACAACTCAAAAGACATAATTTTTTTAAAATATAATTATCCGAAGAAAATGCTATGCTCCACCAAGCAAACTAAAAATGTTTGAGTAAATTACACTAACGTATGGAATTTGGCTAAACGACATTTGACACACACCACTCTTGTTTTAAAAGTTATACAAACCTCCATTGACATTTGATATAAACTGCAAAAACTTTCAATTTACTTATAGTCAAAGAAGTTAATCTTTTAAATAATATGAAAATGTAATTCTAACGTTAATGTAACAACAGAACTGCTAAATTAATATCAAGATAATTAAGAAATTCTACTTTCCGAAGCAATGCATGTAGTGCAGAAAGTTTACATTTATATTTTTATAAAAAATAGATTAGAAATGAGGTTTTTGCTATCCATATCAAAGGTAACGGGACCCAACAGCGATTTTTTAAAACAAAAAGAATATTAGGGGCAATGCAGCCCAACTTGAAGGGAGATTTTGTGTAATACTCAATATTCTCCAAGGTAAAAAGGTGGACAAACATTAGCAGTTGACGACCTCATATTATCACAGGCAACTAGCCTGGTTCAATTCAAATGCTTCAACTAAATATGTCAACATATGAAAGCATCTAAATGAAATGATGAACTAATTTACAGCCCAAGTTGTATCAATAACTGAGGGAACAAGCAAATAGCATCTTATTGCAGAGTTCTTTCAACTTTGAAATCCAGCACCGCAGCTCACTATTTCAAGGTGACCCTATGTCAGAGGCCACAAGTTGAACACAAGAAATACAGCTTATATTTACACAACAATTCAAACCTACAGATGGTGTGGTGACCATTTTACTTGCACCAACAGAAAGTGATGTTATTCCCCAACTGCTGTTTTGGCTTCCCTTATTATTGTGAAAGCCAATATATTCACGCAATCCAGCTTGAAACAGATTTACAGCATCTCCTTGAATCTTTGCAGCCCCATATCTTAGTGGACAGGATTTAGAAGGCAAGTTTTTATGCGAATCCAAATCACCCTGTTGTCAAAGAAAAACCTCAATAGATAAAATGAAATAGAATTAAGTTACTACAAAAATTCATAATCAATGTCTCGATATATAACATTAAAATTTATAGTGAGCTGTATCATTTATAATTCATGAACAATGTTACTCATTTTTCAGATTCTGTACAACTACAAGGCTTACATCTAGTTTACAATAAAAGACTAATGAAAAAGTGAGAATGGTACGTTTATCTAAATAAAGAAAATCATGCACAGATCAGGTATGGAAAAGCCACCTTGTATGCTCTAGCATGCAGAGTCAATGTGCGTGCAATACGCTTATTTTGTTCCAAGTTAGATTGAAGACGTTCACTCAGCTCTTCACACAATTGATTAAGCCAGTGCTGAACCTGAAGAAAGAAACAAATAACAGTACATAGCAATGTAATGAAAGGGATTTTCTTGCATGTGAAACTGTGGATCAAGTTCGAAGTCATCTAACTAATAAAAATCCAATAACAAATTTCTCAAAAGAAGCCAGCCAGTAAACTCATTAAGAAAATTGAAGAGTCAAAGGCATTTCAATTATTTTGGGGCAATGAGAGAATCTGATCCAATAAACAACAAATAAAATAATGAGAGACCAAACTGTGCAAAGATTTAAAAGGAAAAAAAAGGACTTAAACCAAGATCAAGAGCAAGAAAATGATATCCTTCACTTAACTTGGAGTAGATTATGATACCCTCTAGCACTTCCCTGTCATCATCAAAAAGAGTAAATTACAAGGTTGAAAACAATCCAAGATGATAGTAATCAAAATCATGAGCAAGAAACACACATCGTTCACTTAACTTCGTGTTGTTGATGATATCCTCTAGCAACTCCTTGTCATCATCAAAAGCAGTAAATTATGAGGTTGAAAACAATCCAAGAAGATAGTAATCAAAATCACGAGCAAGAAATAGATATCATTCACTTAACTTGGTGTAGGTTATGATCTCCTCCAGCACCTCCCTGTCATCATCAAAAACAGTAAATTATGAGGTTGAAAACAATCCAAGAAGATAGTAATCAAAATCACGAGCAAGAAATAGATATCATTCACTTAACTTGGTGTAGGTTATGATCTCCTCCAGCACCTCCCTGTCATCATCAAAAACAGTAAATTAGGAGGTTGAAAACAATCCAAGAAGATAGTAATCAAAATCATGAGCAAGAAAATGACATCCTTCACTTAACTTGGAGTTGTTGATTGTATCCTCCAGCAACTCCTTGTCATCATCAAAATCAGTAAATTATGAGTTTGAAAACAATCTAAGAAGATAGTAATCAAAATCACAGGTAAGAAGGTGATATCATTCAGTTAACTTGGAGTTGTCTATGATATCCTCCATCACGTCATCATCAGCCGCCATCTCCTCATTTAGCTCAAAAGTAATTCCCTGCATGGAAGATATCTAAAAATGCAACTATAGTAACTTCTTTTACTTGAGTACATGAGAGAAAAGGAACAAAAAGTCAGTTTATTAATCTTAGCCCTAAACAATAAACAATAGCACAAGACAGACCGACTGAAACATAGAACTTCCCCCTCCCATCTTGACCTAGCAACACATCAAACTCTACCTAGTAAACTTATCCTCCTGAAAAAACACTAGAAGCCCAAATGAAGAATGGAGCATAGTGATTTGAATAAAGCATCAAACTCTACCTAGTGCAATACACATGACAACTTCACGAGTAATGCAATACAAATTATCCCTTCCCTTCGTAAGTCATGAATTTAAGTGATTTGAACGAAGCATCAAATGCTAAGGTCAAAAATCAAAAGGGACCAAACAAATGGAAATATAAGAGTCACAGGCAAAGGCAAACCAAGATTGGTCAACATCTTTCCTATCAAAGTGACTTCACATGAATCAAGTTTTTAAGCACCATGGCAACAGGTTTAACATGGTGAACCTAAGCTTATAGTCCCTCACCAATGCCAAGTGTTTAGCTCTCTCACTCAAAGTGTCTAGGCCTGTGTTTACACTCAAATCCACCTTACTTAATCCCCTTTCCATAAGCTTGGATATAATCTAGGTTCTTCACCACTAACAATCAAATGCTAAACATAGATCAAAAGGACTTTTATTGGGTGATGAAATAGGCTTGGTTAAGAAACAAGTGGCAAACAAAAGAAAGGATATCAAAACACAAAGTAGATACTTTAGAAAATTAAGAGCCATTTAAAAAAAATAATGGGATAGATAGAATATGCATGCAATAAATTTGAGGCCCAGAATTCACAACCACTTAATCAATGAAAGGGGCAAATGCATAAAAAAAGCATATCATGTCTCTTCCTTTTCTTTTCTTTCTTTCCATTCCTTTCCTTTTTTCTGTTTTTTTTCTTTCCTTTCCTTTTTTTTGCCTTTTCCAAGTTTTTTTTTCAACTTCTCTTTTTTTTTTTTCCCCAAGCTTTTTCAAGCTTCTTCATCTTTCCTTTTGCTTTTATTCTTCTTCTTCTTTCGTTTCGTTGAAACTTTAATTGGTGTAGAGCTAGGCTTGCAGCCCAACATCCCTGTTTCCCTTAGGAGATCAAGCACATATTTTCTCTGGGAGATGTAGATTCCTTTCTTAGACCGGGCCACCTCCATTCCCAGGAAGTACTTCATCTCTCCGAGGTCTTTTACTTGGAATTCTTCTGCCATTGCAGCTTTTATTCTCTTCATTTCTTCATGATCATCTCCTGTGAGAACTATGTCATCTACATAGACACTTAAGATGGTTTTCTTATCTCCTTGATGTTTAAAGAATAGTGTGTGATCACTTTGCCCTTGAGTGTAGCCCTCATCCTTGAGAACCTGTGTGAATCGCTCAAACCATGCCCACGGTGACTGCTTTAGGCCATAAAGAGATTTCTTCAGTTTACATACCATATTCGGTTTTCTAGTTGGGAACCCAGGAGGTGGTATCATATATACTTCTTCTTTCAAGTCTCCATTTAAGAACGCATTCTTTACATCTAGTTGGTAAATAGGCCAATCTAGATTTGCTACCAAGGACATCAAGATTCTTACAGTATTGAGCTTGGCTACTGGGGCAAAGGTCTCTGTATAATCTGTGCCATATATCTGAGAGAATCCTTTCGCTACAAGTCTTGCCTTGAATTTATCTACTATTCCATCAGCTTTGTATTTTACTGTGAACACCCATTTACACCCCACGGCCTTCTTTCCTTGTGGTATAGCTGCTTCTTCCCAAGTGCCATTTCTTTTGAGTGCACCCATTTCCTCCATAACAGCATTTTTCCAGTTTGGAGACTCAAGAGCTTCCTTAATACTAGTTGGAGTCTTTATATTGTCTAGATTGCTGGTGAATGCTAAATACCGGGGAGAGAGAGCTTTGTAGGAGATGTGTTTCTCGATTGGGTGTTGTGTGCAGCTTCGAGGTTTTTTCCTTTGTGCTATGGGGAGGTCCAAGTCAGATATTGTTTCACCTGTAGGATCTACATTACCTGTCTGATCATCAACATTAACAATACTAAATTCTTCAGGCTCAGGAACTGTCATTTGTTCTGATTCATGGTGTGCCTTAGGAGTTAGTGGCTTGTCTTTACTGTTCTGCCTCCTCGCGTACGCCTTCTTAGTGTCTTTTTTGGTTTGCTTCTCCCCCTCATTGGGATTTTTCTCAAGTTCAAAAGTAATAGGTGGTTCATACTCCACAAAATAATGAGATTCAACCATGTCCTCTAGAGGGGCTGAAGTATTATTGTTTTTTGAAGACTTCAATTCATCCCAACTCTCCCCCTGAATTGAAGGCTGGGAATAAAATGGTTCAGACTCATGAAAAGTGACATCACAACTAATATAGAGGCGTTTGGTAAGAGGGTTATAGCATTTGTATCCTTTGTGAGAGGCAGAATAGCCTAGAAAAATGCATTTATCAGCACGAGGCTCTAGTTTCCCTTGATTGTGCAAGTGAACAAAGACAGAACACCCAAAAATTTTAAGAGGGAGATTGTTATGAAGATAAGGAACATAGTGAGTCTTGTGAAGGATCTCAAGAGGGGTTTTAAAGGAGAGAATTCTACTAGGCATTCTATTGATAAGAAAAGTTGCAGTGAGGATAGCATCACCCCAATAATACTTTGGGACATTATGAGTGAGGAGAAGGGCACGAGTAACTTCTAAAATGTGTCGATTTTTCCGTTCTGCAATTCCATTTTGTTGGGGGCTGTGAGGACAAGAACTTTTATGAATAATGCCATTTTCTTGGAAAAAGGTAGTAAAACTATGATTAATATATTCGGTGCCATTATCTGTATGAAAATTTTTTATAGAGGTATTAAACTGATTTTTTATCATTTGATGAAAGTTTACAAAAGTAGAATAAACTTCAGATTTTTCTTTAAGTAAATAAGTCCAACAAACGCGAGTGTGATCATCAATAAAAGTAATGAACCATTTGTGAAAAGTTCGGTTGGCAATCCGACTAGGCCCCCATAAATCACTATGAATTGTAATAAAAGGAGAAGAGGGTTGATAAATATTTCGAGAAAAGGTAGTGCGGTGATGTTTAGCAAATTCACAGACTTCACAAGAAAGTTCAGAAACATTTTTATTAGGAAAACTAGAAGGAAACATTTGAGTTAAATATTGAAAATTAGGATGGCCAAGACGTTTGTGCCAAAGGAAAATATCACTATCCCTAGGGAGAGAAACTTTATTGCAGACACTAGTATTTGTAATGGAGGCATCATCAAAGTAATATAAGCCATCGAATTCCTTAGCACTCCCAATCATCTTCCCTGTTGACAGGTCCTGAAATAAGCAATGAGTATCATAGAAATCAGCATGGCATTTTTCAATTTTGGTAATTTTGTGCACAGATATTAAATTGCACTTTAATTTAGGGACATGAAGGACAGCATGAAGAATTATATGCTCTGATATTCGGATATCACCAATGCCAGCTACAGTAGATAATGATGCATCAGCAATTTTAACTTTAAGGGTGCCATCACACGGCGTATAAGATATAAATAAGCCACGATTATCAGTCATGTGGTCAGATGCACCAGAATCTATTATCCAACACCTACCTGTACAGAGGCTTTGAATTGCATTCAAAGCATGTAAAAAATTACCTTTGTGTACCACCGTGGCAGTAGGTTGAGTGCGTGATGGCTGACCAGAAGGTTGCAGGTTGCTGAGCATCTCTATTAGTTTAGAGAGCTGGTCATTAGATATAGCAGCGGGTGTGGCAGGTTGCATTTCATTCCGTTCTGTTCCAACCATATAGCTACGTCCCTTGCTCTTTTTTGGTTTCCAATCTGCGGGTTTACCGTGTATATCCCAACATGTCTCCTTTGTATGGCCACTCTTCTTGCAATGTTCACAGATTGGTTTGTTTTTTGGACCTTTATTATCTGTACTGTGCCGAGTAATTAGAGCAGAGGATTCATGATTGCTGCTTGCAGCAACAGGGTTGGGCATCATGATTCGTCGTCGTGAGTCCTCCCTCCTTACTTCTGCAAATGCTTCTCGGACGGTAGGCAAGGGAACACGGCTCAAGAGGCGTCCTCTAACGGCATCAAGCTCTGAATTAATACCTGCAAGAAACTCGAAGAGGCGTTCTCTGTCGACCTTCTTCTTGTATAGTGCGGCATCTTCAAAGCATTTCCATGTATCGTCATTCTGGAGGTCAAGTTCCTGCCACAGAGCCGACATGGTTAAATAGTAATCATTTAAGGTTCCCGTACCTTGCTTCGTTTGCCACAATTTTGTTTTAATTTCGAAGACTTGGGAGACATTCTCTCCATCAGAATATGCCTCTCGCACAGCGTCCCATATTTCACACGCAGTGGGAAGGAACATGAAGCTCCGTTTAATGGCTGGTATCATTGCATTAATCAGCCGGGAAGAGACCATCGAATTCTCAGTTTTCCAGAGGTGCACAGCTTGAGAGTTGGTGGACGACGGACAAACAGCTTCGCCGGTGAGGTAGCCTAGCTTGCCTCGACCTTCAACAGCGAGCCTCACAGATTGCGCCCATTCACGATAATTCTCACCGGTCAACTTTTCTGGAACGATGAGGACGGCATTTCCTTCGAGACTTGATGGGTGGCGTGAGAGGACGGAACTCTCTGGTTCCATAGTCGACTTGGTCGACTCTGTTTTTTTCGGAGATAGCGACATGAGGTCGCACAATAGTGATTCAAGAGGTACCCACCTAATGCTCTGATGCCATGTGAGTAAAAAACTGTATATACTCTTATATTTTACAAGTCGAACATGTACAGGGATTTATAGGGGCTGTATTGTATCTATCCTAGGAAAGGAATTAATGGGTAATAAAAAATAATAAAGGACCTAGCTGACTATTTTACAACGGGCAAAATCAATCAATAAATAATACAATAATATCAAATAGAATCCTTTATTTGTTTTCCATGATTATCGGGATTTCCACAGCAAATGCAAATATGTGGTCTCAAACAAGATACAAGCCAAGTTCTAGAGTAAGAACAGAGATAGGTGGTACACACACGAAATGAATATGAATAGGCCCAAAAATCTCATAGGTCATGACCACCTACTTACAATTCACCTAAAGCCAAAACAATTGCGATGTAATTTTTCTACTCAACACATGATCAATCACTTATCAAATCAAGAATGCATACAAACCAAGGATTACCTTGTCCTCGCAATTCTCAAATCCAAAACACATTCTCTCTCTCTCTCTGTGAAAAATTCTAAATTTTTTCCGAAACATAAAACAAAGCAAGCACACAAAACTAAAAGCTAGAAGTAAAATCCTATCAATGCAACCCCAGCTCAAAATATAATATTCAATCAATCCGCCCTATTCAAATGACAAAGAAACGCAATATGGAAGTGTAAAAGGAAAGTGTACAACCGGGCCAAGCTAAGTGGCATATTGAACAACCTGCTCCTCCATGTTGCGTGGAAAATCCCTCATCGAAGGACTCCAAAACGCTAGCCCCAGTCATCTGCTCAATCTTCACAAGACACGGACAAAATAAAGTTCTTGAAAACAAACATGCAACTTTAAATGCAAGGTGGATAAAGCACATGACGCATTAATCATTAAAGTTATGGCTGATTCATAAAATAATTTGGTCACATTGAACTAAGGCTCCTTTTTAGCTCCTTTATATCAAATGTCATTAGAAGAGAGAATTTTCAACCAAAACGCAAGTCAACTCGGGCACCATACATAAATCATGATAGATAATCCGTACCTTTTGAACTTGAAAGATGCAATCAGTATAAATTTATCAAATCCCTTAGAGTGTCAAGCAGCAAAATAAACTGTCAAATGCTAATGATTAAAATAGCCAGCATACATGGCCCAATTAACATGTATAGTTTGAGTAAGGAGTTCGCATCCATTCAAATTCTCTTTTGCATTCTGTGCTTCCTCAGCATACTCATATTCAATAAATACGTGACCCGAAAATCAAAATAATTAGAAGCTGATATTAGTACAGTAATGAAACTATTGATGTGATAATGCCGCTAACCAAGTCCGAAATAATGATTTCAACTACGTAACTAGAAATTGGCAATTCTCCCTTGCTATTTCCTACCATTTATTTTGTTTGACACTGTGGGCAAGGGCAGAACATCCGTAATATAGTATACTGTTTTATATAGAAGAGACCCATCAAAAAGAAGTTCAAAGTACCTTAAGCTCTTTATCTTTGCCATGGACCAGCTTCAAGAAGTTAGAACGAAAAGTGTACTCAGCGCATTTGTTTCAAAGAAGTGCAACCTACTTTAATGTTTCACACCTAAAATTTATGTGCTGTGATCACATATCCAGCTATTAAATACATTTTATCACCCATTATTATTAAATGCGATGATATAATCAGCCAGGTTAGCAAACAGATACAAACATCAATTTCAGATTGTGTACAGTTTTATCGGCCCATTTCTCTCTATTTACAACTCTAGAAAGGAAATCCACGGTACTGCTTCTAACCAATATCTACAGAAAGTTACAAAAGAAATGCCAAACAGCAAGGGAAGAATCAAAAGGAAGGAAAAACTCACATCATGAAGGCCATCAGACCCAGAAAAGGGGGTGTTACTATTGGCATCAGTTTCGGGCGAAATCCTCAGCCTTTGGTTTTTCAGGGGTCGGTGAGGAAGAAGCAGGAGAGGGGAGAAACATGGGAAAGGCAGCGGTATTAAAGACAGCTTAGCCATCTTCGTCGATCAAGTCACCGTTCGCTGGCTCAAACGCGACCGCGTCTCCGCCAGTTGCGGTCCCTGCTTCACTCTATCGTCGTTCTCTCCGGACAAGCAAAACCCAAGGACGCTCGAAAGAAACCTCCCGTAAGAATTTTCAACCACTCAGAAGTAGAACTCGTTGAAGGAGGAATTGCTTGGCTGATTCAGGCAATAAAAAGCCCGCCCCGACGGAACTATTTCGATTTTCTTCTGATTGCTTGGCTGTTGCAGGAAACAAAAAGCGCGCCCCAACGGAACAATTTCTTCTGATTGCCTCGCTGATTTAAGAAATAAAAAGCGCGCCAACGGGACTATTTCTTTAAGGGAGAATTACAGTGAAATCTCACAGGAAAAAAAAAAAATTAAAAAATTCTAATAACAATCTGAGTATCCTGTTATTAAAATAGAAAATAACAATTTCTGTGACTTATTTTGTTATTTTTTGAATGGTAATATTCGATTAACATATCTTCCATCAAAATCCTTACCATTAATTTAGCGTTCGTTCGCTGTCACTATGTTTTGGGAGTAATGAAGCTATTTTTCCGGCAAGAAAAAAGTGTATATACAATATTATAAAAATATTAATATTTGCTACTTCGAGTTTCTAAAAGGACACAAGGTCAGAATTTCCTTTAAAAAAAATATAGAACGAAATATAAAAATTTTCTTTTAAAAATACTTATATATTTTTTTTCAATCTCTTCGATATTATTAAAAAATATTCATACCAAAAGCAATATTAGGGAGAGAAAACAAAAGCATTTGTGGCTGAATATTAGGAAAAATATTGCCTACTTCATTAACTTTACAAAATGACTTATAAATATAAATGAAGATGGCATTTTATTTTCATATATTCATTTTTCATGATAAATAATATATTTGTGTGTATTTTGAATAAAAAATATATACGTTGATTCCATAATTCTTGCATGAGAGAATTCTGATATTCCGAACCTTAAGGCTCTAGAAAAATAGGTTAACAAGTATTTATGAAATTCAAAAAAATTATTTTAAAAATTAGAACTTTAAAAATATTTTAATGACCAAAAAACTTAATTCGAGTGTGAAATTAAGAAAAAATAATTAGTAAAATTAGTTAATGCCTAATATATGATATGAAAAAGTTGTTGCCACTTGGTGAGCTTTCTTCCAATTAAATCTCACTTTCTTCTTTTTTGGTGTTTTATTAGCTACCAAAACCTATCATTTAGGTATATGTAAGACTAGATTAATATTTATTCCATTCATAACTAATCATTTATTAGGGGATTTATCTTTATCATTTAGGTACATGGTTTTAATGCACATGATTATATAAGGTAATTTGGAAAAATCAACAGACATTTGTTAGTAATAACTAATTTAATAAAATTTTTTAATATATATAAATTAGTTATCTAACTTTTATATTAAAAATCAAAAGTAGTATTTATTTTTTGAACTGAAATTTTTCAAAATTTGAAAGAAAAAATATTATTTTCTATTTGGTTTTTAAAATTCAAAAAATTAAATATGAAATGATGATTTTTTTGGTTAATTATTTTTATTTTGAAAAATTAAACTTGACATATGAATACTTGTAGCAATAAAAAACTAAATAACTATAGTTATTTAGTGATAAAAAAAAATAAAAAAGCACTATTTTTTCTTCCAATTCTAAAAAAATTCAGTTGAAAAATAAATATTTACTAGTTTTCGAGAGATTTTTCCAAAAAATTATTATATCTAATTTTATTGGTGTAAATGAAAAAGTACGTAGATTAAGTATAAAAGAATTGAAAATGTTGGGAAAACGTGACATGTTTTACTTTATCATTAAATTGAAAAATAAAAACATAAATTCAAATTATAAAATTATAACTATTAAGTATGAAAAAATCAAAATAGATTTTGGTCGGAATTGTCAAAGGCAAGTTCAGAAGGCCACTTGGGTTCAGCTTCGGTTTTTGATTTCGGAACTCATAAGTCCCATATGAAACGACGTCGTTTGGGAGCAAAGGACAGCATCACCAAGAAGCCAATCGCGTATAGCGCAGAAAATAACTCAGCCATACACTTACATCTCAACTGTTCTATTTACAAACTATAAAAAGGGTCCTATGAAGGGGGGAAAAAAATCTGTATTCAATAGTTCCCGTGATTAATCCTACACGAGTATTTTGTAAGAAAAGCATTATCTTCTTCAATAGTTCTAAATGTTTCCGGCTATATAATGCTCCTCACAATTCACCTTTCACGTGGATTCTTCAGTGGATATTGATTTATCTGCAGGACTGGTGGCTCCATAAGTAGATTGTTTTTCATGAAGCAGGCCAGAGGAGATGAATATCTTATGCTGAGGATTGTCGCAGAGGTTGAGCTTCATTATGTGCTTCATTACTCTGTTGGTCCAGTGGCATGTACTGTGACATAATTGCCATGATCTCCGAGTCCATGTAAGACTGCAAAGAAATAAGTTAAAGAATATCGGCCAAAAAACACACATTAACCCCAATTTTTTTATACTAGGTACTGGTATATTTCTATTAAAAGCAATCTAGTTTGAGACAATATCGGCTACTAAATATGGATATCTCTCCTGATGAGATGATTAACTTCATTTTGTATATATAGATGTAAGAGTATATGTAAATGGGTGGCAACTTCAGTTATCATACCCGGAGCCTGTATTTGTAGAATACATAACCAGCCATGCCAGCGCCTAAAACAACCGCCAGAAGCATGAAGACAAGGAACCGTCCAAATCTTGATCCACTTCTTTCTGCATGAAAGCAAGCAAAAGGCAAGTCATGCATCTTGATCTGACTTATAAAGTTTACTCTCTCCATCAGATAATGGTTAATTGGAAATTAAAATTTTCCCTAATAAGTCTAAAGAAATTGCAATGGCAATGAAAATAAATATATGTTTAAAGTATATGCAAATTGATTTTAGTGTGCGTGGGGAAAGAAGACGATCATAAATGCGAAGTTAAATCGTAATTTAGTGCTCAAAACAATCTTTTCCTTCTACTACCTCCAGTCCCAAATATAAAAACTAGTTGAGAATTTGATTCGGTTCTAAATATAAGACCTCAATCCACTTTATCTTCCAAATTTACAATTTTTTTTCCCAAAATATCCTTATTGATTGTAAGGGGTTTCTACCAATGGATAATTCTAATATACATGATTAAATAGGGTAATTTAAGAAAGTTAACACACATTTATTATAAATAACCAACTTAATTAATTTCTTTAATCTCTCCAAATTAGTTATTTAGCTTTTAAATTAAGGACTAGAGGTAGTACTTCAGAATACAACAGTTAAGTATCTGTCAAAAAATCTACTCTTCTTATTTAAGAATTGCCAATTATCTCTTCAATAAATATTTGACAGAATTTATGGAGTTGACTATTGATTATCTAAAGCTTCTAAAACTTCTATTGATATAGATTTGACTATTGATTATTTCGTCATTTAATGGTATGCCATTCAACTATTATCTCAAACCAGAATTTATTGTTCTTCAGCATCTTACCAATACAAACATCTCGTTCTTTTATATACACAAGGTCACCCTTGCACTTGCAATCATAACCACCCCATGTGTTTTTGCAGCTGCAACCATCACATCGACATGCACTTCGTTCTTTGCATTCATCGATATCTGCATCAAAAATTACCGAACGCTAAAGTCAACTATATGTCGTATAAAGAAGACATGAGACTGTCTTGCTTTGCTACCATGGAATTCAAGATTACCTTCACATTTTCTACCATCACCATGAAAGCCCACCGGGCACTGACAACCTTCTATCTTGTATTCCTGCATATAGAAAGGGAATTCAGTAAGCCATCAGCCATTCCAAGGAGATGGGAAAATGAGAAATTCATAGGTATGCTCCCTTCCATCAGCCCTTCCAAGGAGACGGGAAAATGAGAAATTCATAGGTACGCTCCCTTCCAGTTAGATGGCGCAAGTTGTTAATAGAAATTTACCAAAAATGAATGTACAAATAAACCTATAATCTTCAATAGCCATTTCGTTGACTCGTTATATAGTCAGCTAGCGCATGATATATAATGTGCTATATGTACAGATACCCAAGAATTTCTCAAGAAAAAACAAAAAACTGAAGATTAAAATATGCAGTACTGAACTGAGCAAGCTGAATGAGTTATTCCCTTTCTAGTCTCTGACCAACAGCCTCCACTATTTATTGAACACCTTAAAGGACCATAAGCTGTCAATGAAAGCAAAACGCAACCATTTCAGCACCATCATGAGAAGAGAATAACACTTGAAGTATTAAGTATATAAATGTTCCACTTCATCCCACTGTGAAGTATGTGAATACATATTTGAATATTTTGTCTAGTCTTGCATCATCATACACAAAAAGATGACAGGCAAATTCATATTCTGAAGTTTTCTGAAAAATATAGATCCAATTGGTCATTCAAGAATGAGGATAAGGAGATGCTATATTGCTGTTGATTCACACTGAAATCTAAATTCATAGTAAACAGGCATTTGTAAATGAATTTATAGTAGAATAACTTTCTTAAAACATCCGCATGAAAAGTTGCACGGAGAACAAACTGCAAATCATAGAAGAAGCATGTTAAGGAAAATATTTTCAAACTTAGGAACAGTTAACTAGACAAGTGGTTAGATAATTCAAGGTATAGTACCTTTATTTATCTTATCTTTGAGCATTGTAAGTCACTATTGGAAATAAAATTACGTCACTTGGAAAATCGCATTTCTCATATGATAGAAGGCATACCTTCACAAGATGTATAACCATCACCTCTAAAATGAACACCTCTTACAATGGGGCACTCACAAACTCTTCCCCTGAAGGTATCCTAACAAAATTCAGGTTTCACTATCAGTTTGCAGCCAATTATAAGCAATCATTAAAGTATCATGATTTACATATATATATGTATATATAGAAAATCATGCTTAAATGATATAGATACAAATTAAGGAAGTTAAATGCGTGCTTGATAACATTTATCCATACCCTGCAAGCAGTGACATTTGCATATTTGTCCTCCCAACATCCTCCATTCCTTTCAAGACATTCATTAGTCTCAAGATCTGATAAATACCAAGGCAATATGAAAAAAATCAATACCATAGGGATATCAGATTGGGATCCTCTAAAATATTAGAGACATCAACATCATAAATTTTCAACAGGAAAACGCATTCAACCTGAAAAACCCATCACTTAATCAGTGGACAGACTTGTTGCTTCAATGTGGGTTACAAATCAAGTGTTTATCTCAAAAATTTATGGTGTAAATTTCCCTCTCAATGTTCAGATTAGCAGAACCCTCCATCTTTACAACTTAGAAAATATAACAGCAAGCATACGAAGTACGAACCTCCAGTTAAACAGACTGCAGGCTCAGTAGTCTCTTTAAATCCTGCACATATAGCCTTCAGCACTGCTACTCTCTCCAATTTTCCTTTAAACAAAACAAGCTGAAAACTTAAGAAATCTGATCTATGTAAAATTGCTCTGAAAAGGATAGTTTGAAGAAGCAAAAGAAAACTACATGGGAAAATGTTACAGATCAAATTCGACTAAGTGGCAGAAAAGGAAGATGGTTTTTACAAATGGAACATTCAAATTTAGGCAAACTACATTTCCCTACTAAGCTAAGGCTTAAATATACATGTGTGTGTGGATGTGAATTTTAAAACATAGCAAAAATGCAAAACACTTCCTAAACTAAAGAGCCGAGAAAATAGCAAAATTAAAGAGTAATAAGTTTAAACAGAGCACATCCAAGCACCTCAGCTTAATGTTAATTGATTAGGGTTAAAGCAACAAACCTCGATATTGGACATTGTTTATAACCAATGTTGGCAAGATGGTCACATCACCACGAGATCCTTTCCCAATCTGAACATCACAATAAAGCAAGAGATACAGAATTCTTTTACACTTTAGTTGGCAGTTCATAATGAATGGATTCAAACTGATATAAAAGTGAATAAGCAGTTGTGACCTGGAGTTGTTGCTCAATCTTTAGCACTTCATTATCCACATCAGCTTCAGGATCACCCATGCATTTTTGAATTTTCTCGATTGGTAGATCTGTGATAATAATATCATTAAACTTAGTAAAATAGAAAACAGGAAAATCTTGATCATGACAGTACAACAAAGTGTTAAGGCAGGGAAAATATCTACAGGGGGATTCTGAACCTAGAGCAATTTCATCATAAATAACAAAATCTAAAAGTGCTCAGGATAAAAAAACGTACGTGTGAGCACAAACCGAATTTAATTTGCCTACATTGATGAGCTAGGATGAGGAAATTCTACAAATGGGCACATAAATGGAGTGACTAAACTCAGATCCACACTCGCCACTGCACCTTTATCCTTGGAATTATTTCCTCGCAGAAAATGATATATAAATACTTACATAGAAATCCTAGTCTCAACTAAATATTAAGATAGCAAAGCCAAATCCAAATCCTATTTAGATGCGAGAATTATTTCCTCGCAGAAAATGATATATAAATACTTACATAGAAATCCTAGTCTCAACTAAATATTAAGATAGCAAAGCCAAATCCAAATCCTATTTAGATGCGAGTGAAATAACTATATTTCTATAATACTCCGATAATCATCTTGATATATCGTAAATCTAGAAAAATACAAGGAACAAAATGAACTAGGATTTTGTCAATCCATGCGTCTTTTTTCCGAGTGAAATCAATCCATGCGTCTTGATAGCTAATAAAATGTTTAAATTATTTTTTTGGTCTTTACAACGTTAATTAGTTTTTAAATTGATCCACATTTTAAAAGTTTGTTTTAAAAAACTACTCCTCGTTAAACCGCCATTAGTAGTTCATTTAATTTGATAGCATCGCCAGTTAGACGTCATCTTAACACTATAGATACACATGATTCAAGTCAATTTAATTTACCCCAAGCCACCCACACACTTGAATAGATATACTTCACTCCATCATCTACTTTTAGCCCTTTGGTTGGTATGTAGTAATGCATATTCACAGTCCTAAAACGATGCTACACCGACATTATTCAAGGACACATGATAGAATTTAATACAGAAAAATAAAATTGTAACACTGATAATGTTTGAAACTAACTGTGAGACTGACAGCATCTAGAATTCAAGACACATCCCAAAACAAAGTAGCGCTTACCTAATGATTTCATGACGTCCTCAGCACACTGTTTGCTGTATCTCTTCTCCTTCATAGAACATCTGATATGAAAATCTGTCACAAAATCCCACCAAACCCAGGACCGATTGCTCTCATTGGCAACCCTGTGAACACAGAGTTGCCTCAAATTCTCAAACACTACATCTTTCCCTTGATAACCCTCTCCAAAATCCTTTTCTGGATCTGGTGCACAATACCTCCCGTGGTTGATGCACTGCGACTTGCACTGACTGCTCTGAACAAAAGCAGAGGGGCAATACCAAGTTATATAGTGAGGAGTGAACAATGTGTAGCCCCCCCTCTCAAGAATCTGAGCGTGACCCTTGAAATTCTTGACGAAATCCATCTGTTCATCGCAGCGGGCCCACACTCGTCGTTGCTGTTAGTCCAGAATTCATACTCCACTCTGTTATCTGGGTGAGGCACTGATTCTCTCCAATCTAGCCTTATAAGAACGTCATCCTTGTTTTTTAGGGCTTCCTTCAAGGAATCGCCGAAGGATTTCTCGATAAGAGCCGAGGGAATGCTGATTTTCTCAATGTAGCCGTCGGCATCGGAGCTCTCCTCGGGGGAATCCATGGTGATCAGAGGCTCGTCGATGCTGTCTGCGACGAGAACTGCGGCAGCTCCGGCGAGTTGAGCGTGCCATACCTTCAATGTAAAATAACACTCTACAAATACAAATGATTGTGTGTTAGAATAATCAAGTTGTTCGTTGCGTCGAGATCATCAAGCTTCAAAGTTGGAAATTTGTATGAATTTGGATCATTTCCTGCACCATTCTCTTGTGCATCCATCATTCATTCGACAACTGAAAGAGATTTCGAAACGTAAAGAGATTGTATGTGTTTGCATGAAATACATGCCGTTCATATTTTTCATTTGTGTGGCTGTTTGGGATGGCCTAAAAAGTCCTTATAAATACTTTTCATATAAGTTCAGAAAAACTTTTTTTCATATTTCGTAAATTATTATTGAAAAACTATTTATAAACTACTTATAAACTGTTCCAAATGGACCCTCATATAAGCTATTTATAAGCTGTTCCAAACGGGCCTAATATTTCTTCAGTTCTAAATATAAAAGTTATTTTATAATATAATTTACATTATAAAATAGATTTTATATTTAGGACCAGATGAATAAAATTTCTTTGTTTTAATATAAAAAAATTATTTCAAAAACCATCTTATAATAATTATAAATTGCTCTACAAACTAGTATTATATTTAGATTTAAGTATTACATTTAGATTAGATTAGATTTACACTACAAACAATGTTTTATATTTAGAAATGAAGACAGTTTTTAAGAGTGGTGTGAGAAAATCCACTTCAGCAAGCTCCAATAAAAATTTAAAAAAATATTAACAAGTGTTACAATAATTTAGTAAATAAAAGGTTGATATTAAAAAAGTTAACCAAAATATATTTATAAAAAAATCTCACAAAAAAATGGAAATTACTCGATTCTATACTAGGATTGGTTCCTACATTTTAGTTTTCAATTATATTTGATAAATGACAACATATTTTTTAATAACTTCTGATCATTAGTTATCTATATGTTATTTATTTGAAGACCATTGTTCAGTTACTTCCAGCTTTATTGGCATTTTAAAGATATCCAAAAAAAAAAACTCATATGGTCATTAATATAGGACTTAATTATTGAGTTGATTTTGATCCTAAATATTACTTATTTCACATATTTATTAATTTTTTATAAATTACCTTTATAAATACTCCCTGAACTATAACCAAGTAGAAAAGGAAGGGAAGATATTAATAAAAATGATTATGGTGTTTTAGAAAAAACATATCACATTTTTTATAATTAACTAACTTATCTAACTTTCTTAATCTAATCAAATTAGTTAAATAAGTCTTATATAAGGACTAAAAGAGTATTATAAAATCTGCGAAAAGACAACACAGCAAAATAAACAAACAGAGAATTACAGGGCGACCTGTTTCACGTTTCAGTCAACAAAACAAGCAGTTGTTTTTTCAAAAACAAAAAAAGTTAGTTCAACTGTCGCCGGGCGGCAACAAAATAAACTAACGGATGTTCAATTTCGGCCCAACCAAGCAAAAAAAAAAAAAAAAAAAGCTTCCCGAATCCAAGTTTTGACTTTGTGCATCCAGCAAAAACCAAAACGAAGCTACGAAAAGCAGCCAGAGTCAGAGTCAGAGAGAACCAGATACACAACCACATTAGAACCAACTCTGTTTTCTCAAGCAGTATTGTTTACTCATGATGCCCTGCAATTGAAATTTCAGGGATCCTAGCTAACTCTAATTTAATTTTATCTGGTGCATTCGCGTGAAGAAGATGTTTCACATACAATCATATTGCAACAGAATCATTCATGTTACTCTCTCACACGCAGACTGCTACTTTGCAGCAGAAAGAACAGAGTTAAAAACAGAGCCTGGGAATGAGTAGAGTTAGATAGGTACCTCCACGATCAAGGAGGACAATAGTGGGGCGAAAGGACTGAGACTTGAAGGGCTTGTGACCAGGGAAGGGTTTGCAGCCAGAGGAGTATTGTTGATCTGGGTAAGTCACAGAGCCAATGATGAAACCTCCATAGTCAGGAATTCCGAAGTTTCCAATGGCTCCATCATGCTTGGACCTCAGTTTGTGAGGTGACACAACACTGATACTGTTCTTCTCCACCACAAAGCGAGCATCAACAACAACACAAGCCCATAACACAAATATTAACACAAAGATGATATTGTTATTGGGGTTTTGAAGAACAGCCATGTTTGATTTGCAGTAGAGTTTGGTTGTGTGATTATGAGTGGCGTGAGAGAATGAAAAATAAGGAGGAAAGGAAAGTTAAGGCATGAGAGATGTAGAGAGAGAGAGAGAGAGAGAGAGGGTTCGGTGGAATGTAGAAGTTGAGGAGGGTCGAGTTTCTTTATCAAGGCTGTGACGTAAAGGGATGATTAACAACATGGCAAGGCACGGCAAGGTGAAGGTGGTTCCTTTTCACTGCACAAGCTGACACTGCCTCCACCATTTTTTTTTTTTTAATTATGCTAGCTGTCCGCTGGTTAACATAATCTTAATAACTAATTTAAAAAAATTAAATAAATTAGTTAAATTAGTTATTTGTAATAAATGTATATATTAATTCCCGTAGACTATTTTCTTTAATCATATATACTGAAAGTATAACCTTGTGAAAATCTCTTATATTTGATAGGGATTTTTTTTTAAATGTGAAATAAAGTAGATTAAGACTTTATATTTATTAATAAATTTAATTCTCTAATTAGTTCCTATATTAAAAATAAGAGATAATTGTATTTTGTTACCATAGGAGTACAAGTTGAGCTAGGAAGATGAAAGCTACACTACTCAATGGACCGGTTGGGATAATGATTTCATTCTAATCGAAGTCAGACTGGTTCAATCCGTTCATTATAAAATAATATATAATCTAAAAAGAGAGTAACATTGAAATAAAAAGAAATTAACCCATAAATTGAATATTTATGTATAAACCATACATAATTCAATAAAGTAAAGTTGACCAGGCACAAATATGACATGAAAATGATGAAATTAGCATCCTCATCCAGTCTCCTTCGATTTTTTTTTGGGGGAGGGGGTGACTGCGCTGCAATTTTCTAAGTTATTTCATGTTTATAATTATATGTCATATCTTAATCTTAAATAATTAAGAAACTTTTAATATAAAAAAAAATCCTTGAATACCAAGTGTTGATGATGGTGTCAATACAAAATGGGAGGGTTGACGTTTGGATGAAGCCAGTCAATATTGGAAAAACTGGCACCTTGTAACATGCGCTTGACTCCTTCAACTTCAACCGAAAACCAACGTCCACCAGATATTAATGTGTCACCAATCCCCAGTTTGTTTCTTCGTTTCATTTCATTTTCATTATCTTCCATTCATCCCCCTCACATTTATATGGCTCAAATTACATCAACCATTTCCCATCTCTCCACCATTTGCCCACAATTAAAACTTGCACATATTTACATTATTATCCAAATTACATATATTTTATTTTAAAAATCAAATTTTTTTTTTTTGCTTTTAAAATTTACAAACATGTTCAATGTCTTAATGACAAGGCGGCTGATTGGCTCTTTCCTAAATCCAAGTTAGAGAACTTTCTTCCTCATGATATAAAATATCTCATTACTGGTTTTCACTTCAATATCTTTTTAAGCATCTCATATCAATGTGAGACTCAATATTTCATACCATGACGTTTCCATCGATTGGCAACTTGGAACGCTTCTAGCAGTGATTTGTGAAATTAAGGGAGTCAACAAAAAGGAATGGAATTGTGCTAGACCAAAGGTATGCCCATCGTGACACTCAAGCTATAACAATCACACCAAATTAAAATTTAGGTTAATATAATTTTTAATCCCTCGAGTTATCCTCATTTTAGTTTTGGTCCATCAAATTTCAAACTATAGATTTTGCTCCCCTAGGGACAAAATAGTCCAAATTTTTATTGGGTTATAGAAACTAATATTTTAAATAAAAAAAAACTTGAGGAACCAAAACCGATCATTTAAAATTTGAGAGACTAAAACCAAATTGAAAGTAAACTTGAGGAACCAAAGTTTATATTAACCCTTAAAATTTGAAAACCAGGTTTCAATTGAATTAACTATAAGAACTAGTTACACCGAATTAAAGTTTTAAGAATGGATTACAATCGACTCAAAATTATAAAGACAAAAATACTAATTTTCCAATAAATACAGGCTCCACAAATTCTGAAACAAGTCACGCTCGTCCCCGCTAAGAGTACTATTCCTTGTACCTCTTATATTTTAGATTAATCACATAAATGAATCTTACAAATAGGATTCCCCAAAGAAACATAAATAAAACAGCATTTATCTTCTATTCTCATTATTCTATTACCCGAAGGAAAGAAACATAAGCAGAGTTAACAGAAACCGAAACTTCAAACAAGGCAGGGGTAAAACTGTCTGAACCTCGCTGCCACATTGTTAATTAAAGGAAATTTGTCTCTAGCTTGAAGCAGTTTTCAGGCGTTTGTGCACAACAGAATTGTTCAGAATGATTCAATCATGAAGAACCAGCAGCTTCAGCAGACTTTTTCTCTCTTTGTCGCTCCCTCTTTTTCTTGTTTCGTAACGCGTTCTTGCTCATGTTGCTTGATCTGCATTAATCAACAATTAACATTTATTTAACAACACTAAACAAATCATAAGAACCAAAGAAGATGCATTAGAAAGGGAAATTTCGCTTACTCTGTGGGGTCCATTCCTAACAACTGCAAATGCAAATCATTTTGGACACCATTAGATACATTAAGTAAATCATCTTGAAACACATCATAACTAAACTTTCCTTCTGCATAAATTTTACGCACCTCTGCTTGAATAGCGGCTGCCTTCTTGGCATGTGGAGGGCAGTAAGCAGCTTTGGTTGTCGTTGGCCCTTGAGCTGAAATTAGTCCATACTCTCTCTATCAAGGGGCAAAAAAGATATAACCCAAAAGAGAACAAATTATTACAACAAAACACATCATAAACCTGGTCGTTTGCTATCTTCAATTTTCACTGTGCCCAGAGATTTGATTAATTCAGCAATGTCACCAAACTTATTTGGTGACTCTGGTTTCCAGTCAGCCTGCAAAGAATTTGCATACAATTCAATGATATTTCAAGATAGGTGATGACCCGGAAGGATCAAGGCATCACTGACCTGAAACAACTTGTCAAACTTCTTCTCGAAGTACAATGACCCATCATAATTGAAAACCTTGACCCTATAATGAGAGGGGGAAATGGATAAAATTAGGAGGGGAAGAAATAGAATGCTTGCTTGGTGAATGAGAGAGAACTAGTTAATCAAGTCATGACCACCAACAAACTAACATATTCCCCCAAAACATCATTCCAGTTTATCGGTTACCCCATAAATGTTGCTCAAGTTAAAACGCTAATTGTGATAGCATCAAAAGTACAATATAGAATCACTCCCAAAAAAAAAAAAAAAGTACAATATAGAAGTGGCCTGTCTGAGTGAACTAAGACCAACAAAAATTTAGTGACCATGGGTAGATAATTACTTATCTTCTAGCAAAGAGATAGAACAAGATTCCACTAATGGCCAAATATAACATACCCATTATCAACTTGAAGCCTTGGAGCTGTTGTGGCCGTCATGAAATAGCATCCATCAGGCGACCATTCACTAGTCACAGACCATTCAGCCTTTGTTTTTCGAATCTTTTTTAACTCTGCGTAATCCCAGAATTCCTAGAAAGTATGCATTAAACAAATATTAACTTCATAAAAGAAACACAAGTTTCAAGCTTGAGCATCTTTTTCTACGTCTTATGGAACTATAGCAGAGAGTCTTAGAAACACAAGTCTTTATCAAGACATGGCAACACGGCAGCTTCTAATCTATACAAGATCTCCAACGGCTACTCTCACCACCGGACCACCTAGCAACTTCAGAAACATGTTTCCAAACTACAGAATCTGTATTGACTTCCAAACTTGTAAAAATTTGTTCAAATAAAAACCATACTTGCATTCAGTTAAACAGAATTGTGTTGGAAAGAGATATCCAGTCAATAGTCAATACAAGAACTAAAAGGCAGCTAAAGGCCACACAGCCAAGGACCAAAGAATAATAGATTCAGCAACAAAATCAACATCTTTAATATTGAAAATAACAAATGTATGTTCTTTATTGTCCTCAAATGGAAGAAGTACCCCAAAGTAAAAATCACACAAAGAATACAATCATTTCTATTTGGGGGAAAATCATAAGGAAATATAAGAAAAATTAGCATGTAAAGAGAATAGAAGGCCAAAAATAGATCTCTCGGTTTCACTTGGTTAAAACGTGGAATAGTTCAACTAGTTGAACATTATTAACTGCATTTGTTTATGTCATTTATAATGACATCATTCAGACGAAAGACCAAAATATGTGATCCACATTTAATCATTGAGCAAGGAGGGTCCCTAGTCATCATAAGGCGTCAAATATCTGTAATGACAGGAAAAATCAAAACAAAGCATAATGGACTATGACAACATACCATATCACCAGGTAGGTTACCAAAGCCAGCCAAAACTAAGACTGAAAAACGAGATGTCAAGGCCACAAAGTTACAGATTAGCTTGCTTTTACCCAAATGTGGATATTTATTTTTTTAAAAAAAAATAATAGACATGAAAAAAGGCACTTCATCAGCCAAGGATACACTTGCCCTTCGGGTTCCATCGAATTGTATTGTAAGGACCACTGCCAAGCTCAAGTATGGGTCTGCCCTTCTTGTTAAATACAGTTGCAGAAGCAGGCATAACTAAAATAGGTCAAGGAAAAGAAAGAAATTCAAGGGATGTGTAAAAAATATTCAAAGCATGATACAGATCAAAATACAACTCTGAAAGAGAAGAAAATTCCTTAAAAAAATGCACCAATCCAATATGCATCCAAAACCATGTAGGAAATATCTACTCCACCATGGCCAGTATGGAAGGTCATATAGAATGCTTAGTTCATTTTAGGACGACTGGACAGAACTGAAAGGGGGGAAGGCTCTAGTCTCTTTTCACAGCATTTTCTTACATGATTCCAAAAGCATCATTAGGGACCAGTTTAACAAAAATCTGTCCATGACTTTGTTGAACCTGAGCCCAAATATACTTATATGAAAAGAAGGCCTAGGCCCAAGATGTGAGGGATGGGTTGCTAATGTAAACAGGGGTATTAAGGTAAATTGAGGTAGTGACGGTTAGTCCCTGGAGTTGTTTCCATCAGACTTCAACATAAGTACTGATTTAAAGTAAGTCAATCCCAGCCCTAGAATTTGAAGTTACGGGATCTTCCCACATAACATACTATGCGTCTTCAGACTGTATATACCACAGAGAAAAGGATACAACCATATAGAACACCGAATTCCAAGCCAGAACATGACCAATGGGCATCATGAACAGGTCCCTCTTTACCTGCCAATTTATATAAAATAATCATTTAGGTATTGACTATATAACCAAATAACCAAGTTCTTGTTTTACTAACAGCAAGAACATACGCAGAGCCACAACTGTTTCTTGAGTCCCATCAGTTGTCAGGTAGCATAACTTGGATTCTCCATAGTAACTCTGATTGGTTTTATCAACATCCGATTGCACCACCACTAGAAGTCCAGAAGATCCATGATTCCAATTAAACTGGACAGTTGAGCATCGAAAAAAATTTCGTCGGGCAATAGGTTGACTTTGAGAATCTTTGTCACAAGCAAATATCTGCACACTAGCAGGAACCCCCTACACAATAGAAAACTTCACATTATATGTATTGCAGATAAAAGCGTGGACAGTGTAATCTTTAATAACTTTCATTTCTAGGTGCTTGCCAGTCACCATACAGTCTGCAGTTAAAAAGCTTATCCTTAATCTTGACTCATAAGGGAGGCCAATAGGATTTTCCAACCACAGAAGATTGCAAATTCTAAACCTTCATACCAAATTTCCTATAATGTAATCTGCGTTCAAGAAACCTGGTTTCATATAATTAAGCCATCAGCTACAGGGGAGGCTATCGAAGTTTAACAGACCCAGACAACTCCATTTATAAAATAATTTGATTAGTAAAATTGTTTACCGTGTTTAACACAACATGATTTCTTAAATTTTGATTCACCTGTTAATAAATGATTTGAGCATGTCCAGCTAGTTCTAGTTACAATCCTTACAATAATTGGATGAAAGATTTATTAATAATACATAGTTTCCCGATCCAATTTATTCATACATTCACCATAGAATACAGAATGAATTTCAAAGATGGGTAACTTTCAATTTTTGAACATGAATGATTCATAGAACACCGTATGTAAGAAAGTACAAGTCTAACAGAATCGCAGGATGCAAACCTTGGACTCCGGAACTAATACAGCTACATGAGATCCAGGGGTCTTAGAAAGCTCAATTGCAGCAACTCCTGGAACTTTCAATCGATATATAATTCCTTTAGAGAAATCACCCGCGTCAAAAAATTGAACTTCATTGGTTGCCATCCGGCATGCAACAGCTTCATCAGAGCTAAACTGAATCGAGGGCCTGAAGTATAGCCAAGGTTATAATTACAGCACAAGCCGTTGTGAGAGTGTTATCGATGCATCAGGAAAGCATATGTACAAAGTGCAAGGCCATGACAGGTTCTCAAATCACTGTCCTTCAGAAAGGCAAAATGTCCTAAAATATATAACTTGAGCACAGGATGAAAGACAGACTTGTTAAGAAGGAAGTACATTTTTGTTGTAACAATTCATGATTACATACCATGTGGTTTTTGTCATGTTCTTTTGGGAGTGCTGATAAACAGAATTCCCAGTCTCAGTCTTCCGTAAAGTCACATTCTTGTCTTGGGGAGCCGAGGGTTTTTGAAAGGTCAGCAAATAAGTCCCACAAGGGGACAAGACGGCAGCAGCAACATTAGGTATCTCAAAGGATCTAATCTCTTGAAAGTTTGCGCAATCATATACCGTAATAACAGAGTTAGTCTTCATGACCATAAGTCTAGACCCATTATCACAGAATTTCGCATTCAAACAAGAGACTTTGTCAAGCTTGACACCAGGTTGAGCATTGGGAAAGGGAGGTCCACCCCAGATTGAGAAGCTATCGGGCGTCCGAACTGAGAAAAAATCGAAAGATAAGATAAAGAAAAATAACAATAGTGAAATCAGACGGCAGCAAGTTGATGGCAATACCTAGTATCTCCAAAGATGGTGGAGGATCTTTGGACGCCATTGTAAGTTGGATGGAATAAGTCTGTACGAGGAAGCTACCTATATGTAGTTATGGGTTGTGGCAAAACTGAATAACAACCCAAGTTAGTTGTGATCTGTGGTCTGAAAGCTACGAAAAGAAAAAGAGAAGAACGAGTACTTGTTTTTGCTAATTGGCTAAATTTCCACTTCGATTCCAGTCTTGCTGATAAACTCAATTACCAGAGGCCCAAGCTGCGGCAGCTTATTCTGCCTCTGATTCTCAATTTAGCAGCGGACACCCCAGTCGTTTCTCATTGTTACCCTCAGACCTCAGTCTCCCTCAATTAGCTGTATTCATAATTTTATTTTTATTTCAATATCCTTAAAACAGAAGGATGAATTTTCTTTCTTTAAATCTAAACAAGAAGTCCGTAATTCAACATATTTTTTCGAAGATAAAAAAAGCTGTCATAATACCCTCAAAAGTCAATAATAACACCATTTGTGGTCCTTCCAATTCGTCCCATTTTGATTTTAAACCCTCAAGTTTTAATCATAAGTTTTAATCTTTCAAATTTATTTTATTTAAAAATTAGTTCTTATAATTTAATAAAAACCTAAATCATTTAACCTTTTGAAGAATCAAAACTTATAATTTAAAATTTAAGGGACCCAAACTCAAATGAGAATAAATTTAGGGGATAAAGTTTGGTTGTTGAAGGAACCCCATATAAACGCATCCTTACAGTGCTGATATGTTAGCTAGCTTGACATCCATTTATGTGATGGTGAGAATTGAATCAAAAGAGACACTACAACAAAATGTGTTATTTACCTCCCTCATTTATGTCTATTTTAAAGAAAACAAACGTTAATTCACGTCTGTTTACATCAACTAGACGTGAAGTAACGTCTGTTGCTTCAAAACAGACATTAATTCACATCTGTTCACACGAAACAGACGTGAAGTGGCTTGATTTTAAAAAAAAATTTGCCCGCAGCTAGCATCAGCTTCATATCATCAGTACCGCAAACCTCCAGCCCCCAGCTATCTCGAGCGGCAACTCTGATTTTTCAGTCTCTCCCTCTCATTTTCGTCTTCTACCTGTAGCAGTCGTGAGCTACTTGAAGACTCTCCTTCTAGTTTCAGCTCTCTCAAGGCCGTAGCCCTCCCTCCATTGCCGTCGCGTGTTCTGCATCAGCTTGATTTTTTCGTGTTGCAATAGCTCGCCGTCGATTACCAAGGCTGAAGCCGTGAAGTTCATAGGCACAGCATCTCACCGTCCTCGTCCTCTCTCCAGGCCGTGATAGTCTTTGATTTGAAGGCACGCCAGAACAGTGAAGGTATGTTCATTTAACTGTTGCATTGTGGGTTTCGTATGTTGTATGTGGGTTTGAGTAGGTTGGGGAATTTTGAATTGGTTTCTGAGGTTGTTGTTTAAATTTTTATTGAAGAATTGTGTTTATATAGTTTTAAATTTGTATATATTGATCGGGTAGAAAATTTAAAGATTTCAAGCCTTGTTAATATTTGTTAGAAAAATAATGCATACAAGGTGTTTGTCACAATGCCTAAGAGGGATTGCATTTAGATAGTTTCCTATATGTATTGAATTTAGATTAAGGATTGGGTATACATTAAATTATTAATGAAAAAATTGCATTTAGATAGGTTAAAATTTGTTTACATTGATTGGGTAATGGATTTGAAGTTTGAAATCCTTATTAACTAAAACATAAAAAGTGTTTGTCAAAATGTCTAAAAGAAAATTTTCCTATATGTATTGAATTAGATGTTGATTACATTCAAGAGGAATCTTTAAAAATTGGATGTTTATTAATTGGATAATGGATTTGAAGATTAAAAAGATTGTTATGCATTAATTAGTTGTCAATGGAAAGCTTTGTTCTCATAATCTTTGGATTTTTGTTATGTAATATGTAAAATCTCCACTACTTGTAAAAGTAATTTTTGTCTTTTTAAATTTTAGGAATTGGCATGATGATATAGTTATTATGAGATGTTTTATGTTGTAATTGGAATGAATCAGATTCAATTGATATCATTAGTTTTGAATTTGGTTAATGTTTATTGGGACTGTGCTGAATGGAATTAAATTGTTTAAAATTCCTTAGGTAGTAACGGAATGGATCATAGTTGGATGAATGCTTTGAGAACAAGTGATGAATATGAGAATGGAGTATAACGATTTATTGAATTTGCTAAAAAGAATGCTCCTAGCAATAACGGAATGTATTTTTGCCCTTGTGTCAAGTGTTTAAGTGAGAGGTGACTAAGTGTTGATGATATTAGGGATCACCTGTTTTGTGATGGTATAAATCTTTGATATACAAGATGGATATGGCATGGTGAAGTAGGAACAAGTTCAATACTCGAAGAAGAGGAAGTTATGGATGATGTAAATGATATAATGAGCGATATGATTCGTGATGTAAGGATAGAGTTCTTTGTGCGATCACATGCAAATGATAACTTGAAGAGTGATGCAGAGATGCCTTTGTACCCTGGGTGTTCTAAGTATACACGATTGATAGCTGTATTGAAATTGTTCAGTTTAAAAGCAAATAATGGGTGGACTGACAAAAGTTTCACAGAGTTGCTTCAATTGATTAGTGATATGCTTCCAATTGATAACGTTCTTCCAAATCATGTGTATGAGGCAAAGAAAATCTTGTCTCAGATGGGTATGGGCTATGAAAAAGATACATGCTTGTCCTAATGACTGTGTATTATATAGAAAAGAGTATGCTAGTCTACGTGAGTGCCCAAAATGTAAAACTTCATGATATAAAGTGAAAAAGAACATGGACTGTGCTGGTAACTATGATAGTGATGAGACAAGTAAAGGGCAACCTTTGAAGGTGTTATGGTATCTTCTGATAATACCACGATCTAAGTGCTTATTTGCTAATGCAACAGAAACGAAGAAGTTAAGATGGCATTTTGATGAGAGAATATCATATGGAAGATATCTTCGGCACTCTGTTGATCTCCTCAATGGCAGAAAATAGATTAAATGTTTTCAGAATTTGATCTTGAACCAAGAAATCTTCACCTTGGGCTTTGTACAGATGGAATCAACCCTTACGGTACTCTTAATAGCACACATAGTGCATGGCCAGTACTGTTGGTGATTTACAGCCTACCTCCCTGGTTATGTATAAAGCGCAAGTACATGATGCTTTCTATGATGATTTCAGGACCGAAACAACCAGGAAACAATATCGATATCTACTTGGCACCTTTAATTGAAGATTTGAAGATGTTGTGGGAAGAAGGCATGGATGTGTTTGATGCATAGAAGTAGGAGTCCTTTAAGTTGCGTGCCATGATCTTTACAACGATAAATGACTTTCCCGTATATGGAAATCTATCAGGATACAGTGTGAAGGGGCATAAAGCATGTCCTATATGTGAAGCAAACACATACTTCCACCAACTTAAGCACAGAAGGAAGACAATTTACCTCGGTCACAGGAGGTTTCTTGATCGGTTCCACCCATATCGGAGATTGAAAAAGGTTTTTAATGGCTTACCAGAGCATGACATGGCTCCGAAGGCATTAACTGGAGAGGAAGTTTACCAGTGAGTAGAAAGAATCAATGTCATCTTCGGTAAGACTCAAAAAGTTGCAAGTGAGAAAACATATGGAAGAAGAAGTCTATTTTCTTTGATCTTCCATATTGGCTCAGTCTTGATGTAAGACATAGTATTGATGTGATGCATGTGGAAAAAAATGTGTGTGATAGTCTTATCGGTACTCTTTTGCACATACCTGGAAAAACTAAAGGCAGAATTAACACAAGACCTGATCTGGCTGAAATGGGAATACGAGAGTGCTTACATCCACAATTGAAAGAGGGTGGTAAGCGGGCTTATATGGAACCTGCGACCCACACATTGTCTAAAGTCGAAAAGACAAGCTTGTGTTGGTGTTTGCATGACATCAAGGTGCCCCAGGGGTATTCTTCTAATGTGAAAAGGCTTGTCTCAATGCATGATTTGAAGTTAGTGGGAATAAAGTCTCATGATTATCATGTACTGATACAACAATTATTACCAGTGGCTATTCCAGGCACAATGAGAGATGATTTGAGGAGCACTATAACTAGATTATGTATCTTCTTCAATGCTATTTGTAGCAAAGTCATTGACATAGAGAAATTGGATGAATTGGAAAATGAGGGTTATGTTATTTTGTCTCAACTAGAAATGCACTTTCCTCCAGCATTTTTTGATATCATGGTGCATTTGATCATTCATTTAGTGAGGGAGATAAAGCTTTGCGGCCTTGTTTTTCTAAGATGGATGTATCCATTTGAGAGATACATGAAAGTCTTAAAAGATTATTCCAAGAATCCTTATCGACCTGAAGCATCAATTGTTGAAAGGTATGTAGCGGAAGAGGCTATGGAATTTTGCAAAACATATCTATCTATAGCTAAAACACCATCTCAGCATGAAAATGGTACAAGTAAAGGAATAAGAGGGCTGAAGGTAAAGAGTATGGGTCGTGAAGAAGTGTTACAAGCGCACTTATACATATTGAATAATATGGAAGAAGTGCAGTCGTATTTAGATGATCACAAAAAAAGTTTAAAAGAAAAATATCCAAAGAAAAGTGATATGCAGATAGCTAATGAGCATAACAAAACATTTATAACATGGTTCAATGAAAAAGTTTTGAGAGAGGCCAATGTGTCTAATATAATAAAATGGTTAGCTTGGGGTCCTTGTTTTGAAGTTATTACTTGGAGTGGATACGACATAAATGGATATTCCTTCTACACAAAAGCTCAAGATGACAAAAGTACTGTGCAGAATAGTGGGGTAATAGTGGTTGCTGAAGCGATGCATTTTTCGAGTTCGAAAGATAAAAACCCCAAATTGGCATCTATGGCTTATTATGGAGTTATTGAAGAGATATGGGAGGTAAACTACACCAATTTCAAGATTCCTGTCTTCAAATGTAAATGGGTCAACAACAATGGTATTGAAATATATCAACAATTTGAATTTACATTAGTTGATCTTGGCAGGGTTGGTTATACAGATGAGCCCTTCATTTTAGCAAGCCAGGCAAAACAAGTATTTTATGTTACTAATCCAGCGAATAAAAAATTGTCTATTGTCCTTCAAAGTAAAAGGCAGAAGGACAGTGATCCAACCATGAATCTTGAGGAGAGACACCACCTTTTGCTTCAAATCCGCCTAGACCAAGTGAAGTTGAATTGGTAGATAATGATGCATATGCTGCAAGAGATGATCATTGTGAACGGATATGGGACAATGCATAACGTCATATTAAGTAATGTAATTTTGCAATGTACCTTGTGTTATTTTCTTTCATTTATTTCATTACAATGTACTTAATATTATTTATGTTAATGCATTTCATTATAATTTACTTATTTATCTAATTTTGGTTTTTCAACAGGCACATGGAGGACGATTCTAATAGAAATATGGAGGAGGATTGTGATAGAGATATGGAGGAGGATTGTGGCAGCGATGATGTCAATGAGCTGGAAGGAAGGAAGGGTAGAGGTAGTACAAGGCTACCGAAGTTAGCAGTACGTCATGGTCGTATTCAGAAGAGGCATGTGGATTTTGATGTCAATATGAATCCAATTGGTGAAGAGAAGGACAGATTCATTAGCTATATAGGCTCTGTAGCCCGAAGCAAAGTTAACATTTTATGGCCTAATTGGAAGTCGATTTCTAAGGAAACGAAGGATATGATTTGGGAATATATTTTGGTCTGTCACTTTCTAATTTTATTTGATTTATTTTTTTGTAAATATAGTTATAACTGAGATCTTTAACTCAAACATTTTTTTTTTACAACAAACATATGACATCCCTCGTACTGAGCAAATGAAAAAGCATTTGTTGCAGCAAGTTCGTCAGCGCTGGAAAGATTTCAAGCACACACTCATGAGCCACTATGTGCGAGGGCCTAAGAAAGATGATGATCCGTGCCAAAAATACTCCTTCCTTGATCCAGATGATTGGAGGAGGTTTGTGGCATCACAGCATGATCCTACATTTCAGGTACGTTGCCTTATAAAACATTTAATTTTGATTTAATTTACTTCACTTACTCAATTTACTTTGTTTTCTTTTCTACAGGAATTAAGTGTGATGAATAAAGAAAGGCAAGTTAAAAATTTATATCCACACTATTTATCTCGTGGAGGTTACAAGATGCTCGAGGAGAGGATCATGCAGAATGACTTGAAGGCGATGCAGGAAGCTGCAAAATCTGATCCTAGCATCGTTGTTTAGACCCCACCTCCTCCTCCACGTCATAGAAAATGGAAGGAAGCAAGGATGAAGAAGGGTCAGTATATTAATCCAGCAGTTGCTGTGATTGCTAAAAAAAATTATAAGTTCTATAATTCAAATAACTTTAACTTATGGTAATAGTCCTTATACTTTGTCATTAATTTTTTATCATATTTAAAATGTTATAGGAGATACTTGAAGAGCAAAGTAGTGAAGGTTCATTTAGTTCGAGTGGAAGGATGGACATTTTAGCGACGGTGATTGGGAAGCCTGATCACCCCGGATGTGTTAGAGGAGAAGGGAGGACAATTGGTCTTGCCCAATATTTTGGACAAACTTCACGAGCTTGCCTACGAAGTCAACCCACTGATGAGATGATAGCTAAACTTCAAGACCAAGTTCGTGATGAGCTCCAATCTGAGCTAGAGGTCAAGATTGAGGCCCAGTTACGCCAGTCACTTCGACAAGAGCTTATGGCTGAGCTTCGTGATGAGATGAAATCTATGGTCTCTAGCATGCAACTTGGGATAGTTCAACAACAATGCACATCTCAGGTTTGTAATCAATTTCACTTAAATTGATATTGAGTTTTACCAACGTTTTTCTTATTTAATTTAATACTTGCATTTCTCTCATTTAGGATTCCCTCGTCTTTCCTAGCACTAGAGATAGTTGTAATCCACCGGGGGCATTGGGAGAGCATGATCCTAGTAGTCCCATGCCGAACTTTGGACAACCTTGTTGTCTTCGTTTAGAGGTCCCAAGGATGCATGTTGTTGCTGACACTCTCCTCTACAATCACGGGAGCACCATCCATCACCAACAAATTCCAGAGGACCAAGTGAGGGTTACAGTTACGACTGTTCGAGAGGGAGAGACAGGAGCAGATGTGCCATTCCTGACTACTGAAGTTGTGAAGTTAGGTCAGGCAATTGGAACTTTCATTCTTTGGCCTAGACACCTTGTCGATGAGGAGATAATACCTTTGATGGTACGAAAATGTCATGCTATATTGTGTGAATTTTTTTTAACATAATACTTATAATACTTATTATGTTTATTTGATGTTTCATTAAGACCAGAAAGATGTTGATAGATATCCCTGCTTGGCACAATTATATGAGGAATATAAAACAATTAACAAGGTCAACATAAAGATGCCTGTAGGGATTGTGGTGAAGAAAAATCATATTTCTTTGGACTTGACAACAACGATATCAGGGAATTCTTATCTTTGAAGAAGTTGGACATTGCATGGCTTCAATTAGCAATCATGTAAGTTTTTTTTTTCATTTCTAACTTAAACTTCTAATTTCTTACTTTGCACATGCTAATAATTACCTTATTTCAATTCAATTATAGCTTTTTCCATAACAAATGCATGTCATCAATGGAGAAGAGAAATTTGTATGGATATTTATGCCTTGCAAGTGTCCAAAAGAAGCACAACCCACTAGATAGGAGAATCAGATATATGGGCAATACGATTGGAGACACTAAATTACCTTGTTATTTGGCACCAATTATTGAAGGGCAAGTAGCTTAATTATATTTTTTTAGACATACTTAAATTGCTAAAAATTATTGTGATATCCAATAATATATGTCTTATTCTATGATGCAGTTATCATTGGAGTTTGTGTGTTTCTTATCCTATCGACAATGTCATCTACTGGTTTGATCCCTTGGGTCATCGTCCAAGCACTGAGATGAGGGGCGTTTTCAACACGTAAGTACCTTAATGTAGATCAATAATTTTGTTTTTACTATAAATTATTTAACTTGTGTTTTCATTTGCTTATAGGGCTTTAAAGACTTATTATACAACTGGTATGAAGCATTTTGGCAAAAATGGCCCAACAACTTGGGTCTATCCCAACGTGAGTACTTTGAATTGAAGTTCTTTCATTGATGAGTTATTTTATATATGAATTTAGATTATCATTTCCTTGTGATTTGCAGTATGCTGAGCAACGAGGGTCAACAGAGTGCGGATATTACATTATCCGTTATATGTTTGAAATTATTGAGAGTAGATGTACTACAAAATTTGATGAGGAAAGTAAATATAATTTTAGTTTTGTAATAGTTGTTGAATTTTTAAATTGAATTGTTATTTATTTTATTTTCTTCATATGTTTAAATTTGTTCATTTGTCAATTTACATATTTTTGATAATGACTGCTCATATACTGTTGATGATATTGACTTCATCCGAGACCTTTTGGCACAGCAACTGCTTCAAGAATGGTGGTCTAGGGATTGATCAAGTTTATGTTTATAGAGATAATAGGTTATAAATTTTGACTTTTGCAATTTGTTCTTCTTTTTTGACTAGTTAGTTAATGTGTCAATATATTGATGAAGTTGTGATGTTGATATGTCTTGGCTGAAAATATTGACTGGTTCATTCTATTTCAACATGCTGGAAAGTGGCTATTATGGCTATTGTGGCTGTAGGGGAAGTGGTACATACGAAGTGAATTTTTTTTAAAAAAAGAGCACATTCATGTCTGTTTTAGGAAACAGAAGTAAAAAATCATACTTTTAATCTCTGTTTTACACCAAAACAGACGTCAATTTACCTCTATTCTAACAAAACAGAGGTAAATTCACGTCTGTTTCTCCAAAACCATACGTGAATTTACGTCTGTTTTAATGTCACAGACGTAAATTCACGTCTGTTTTGTTAAACCAGATGTGAATTCACATCTGGTCTTTTTAAACCAAACGTGAATTTACGTCTGTTTTTGTAGAAACAGACGTAAATAATACCATTATTCGCTTCTGTTCAAAACAGAAGTAAAAAGGGGGTACATTTTATGTCCCTTCTTTTCATGTTCCCCGCAAAACAGAAGTAAAAAGTCATGCAAAACAGAAGTAAAAAGTCTTTATTGTAGTAGTGAGATTTGAGAAGAAGAGGCAGAGAAGAAAGATAAGTGAAGAAACATTTAAGGTGTGTTTGGCCTAATAAAAAAGATAAAAAGGCAAGATTTTAATGGAGGAAAAAGAGATAAAAGGAAGAAGAGAAATTTTAATATTACCTTGTTTAGATTAATACAAAAGGAGGGGAGGGAAGGAATTTTAATGTTACCTTATTTGGTATAAGAAGAGAGGGGAGGCAAAATATTGTTGTGTGGACAACTTTGCCCTTATATTATTTAAGTTGATTTTTATAAACTTTATAGAGTGATTAATAAAATGTAGTTATAAATAACATTTAATGTATAAGATCAACTTTTTATAATTAGCAAAATTAAATAAATATAATGATAATACATAATTAATAGCTATTATATATCCAATAACTATAATTTATTTATATCCAAAATCCGATCTAATGAAGTAAGAATGTTTAATTTGAGTATGTTTTTCTAGCTTTCATTTTTTTTTCTGTGTTATTAGTACAAGTAGCCAAATAACTTTTTTAAAGACAACATAAAAAGAACTTATTTGTATGTTGTTGTTTTGTGTGCTTGATTTGTCTTTGGAAATTAAACTTTATTTGATAGCAACCTTTTTTTTTTTAATATTTGATAGCACATAAATGAGGGGAGGCATTGTTAAATCCAAAAGTATACCAAATCACATACAATTCAGGGCCGAAGGGTAACATGAGATTATTAGAAAATAATATACACATATTAGCCAATACAAGCGAAAATATTATCCTTTCTTTTCAAACTCTCTCAATTTTGGAGGGAAGGCTTATGAGGGGAGAGGAGGGAAAATGTTAAAAAAAATTTCCTCCCCTTCTAAAATTTTTATCTTGCCAAATAAGAAAAACGATCAAAACCCCACCCCACCCAAAAAAAAATCCTTCGTATCAATGATAAAACGCACTATTAACAAATTCAAATACCGTTTCATGGCTTGCGAGTGGGTTCTTTTCTCTCTCTTAGTTTTCATGCCTAGCTAATCTCTGCTCATGGAAGATCTCAGTCACCGAAAAATTCCACCTGATCGTCCATCGGACACCCTAATTTATAGAAGCAACAAGAAGAAAAAGAATGTTGGAACTGATTCGAATGGAAGCGATGAAAATATGGTTGATCTGATACTCAACGAAGAGGAAGTGGAAACTTTGAATGCTATGGAACAAGACAGCGACGGTAAGGGTGAACAGAGGAAAACAGAGGTCAAACAGCCATCATATCGAGATTCTCTCATCAGATTTAATAGGGTTGCAAATAGTGGCTATAGAATAGAGGAAGATGAGCTTCTTTCTGATGTACTTAACAGAGAGTGGGAACTATCGGAACCTTCAACGGAAATCCAGGCGCTCATGGAGAAATGTCCTGTGGTTCTAATCACTCCCGAAGAGTATAGTGAATAGTGCAAGCCCTGGAATGTTGCTCTTGTCCTCACGATGCTGGATAAGAGATATAGTGTTTATAATCTGAAAAACAACCTTGTGAGGATTTGGGAATACCAGATTTTGAACTTATCGACATTCCTAATAACTGCTTCATAGTTCGCTTCCCACAGAAGGAGGGGTGGATAAAGAGATACAAACGTGTTTTATATGAAGGACCATGGGTGGTGCAAAAACACCATGTCTTGATTCAGCAGTGGATGCCGCACTTTGATCCTTTCAACAACCCGTTGACGAGGATTGCCACTTGGGTCTGTGTTTTGAATATCCCAATGCATTGTTACAACAAGGACTTTATCTCCAGGATTGGGGATCATCTAGGAAGGACCTTAAAAGTGGATTTGAATACTTTGACAGATTTTACAAGAGGGCCTTCTAAGGTAGAAAGGGGATGATATGCCCGTATATGCGTGGAACTCGATTTGCAGAAAAAACTGGTTTCAAGGGTGATAGCAACTAATGTAGTATACTTAGTAGAATATGAAGGGCTCAAGCTTATATGCTTTAGTTGCGGTAGATATGGCCATCGAAGGGAAAACTACCTTGAGTGTATGCCAATACCCAAAATAATGATGAAGACTCAATGGGTAAACAGGAACCTCTTAAAAGATTCAACTCGCCGAAGAAGAAAGGTGTGAACACTGAGAAGGAATTGGGATAATGGATGATTGTAGGAAAAAACAACAAAGCTTAAGTCCCAAGGAAAGATTTGAAAAGAGAGATGAAGGAGAAGACAGGGAAAGGACTGAAACTTATCAAGGGTCAAAAAATTGGAAGTGTCTAGTGAGATTTGGGGCACTGGCAGAATTGGTAGAAGAGGAAGAGACGGTGTCAGAGGATAGGATAGCCAATGTGGAAGCAGACCTAGCCTGCGTGGAAGGAAATAATAAAAGTTTAGTGCCATTTGAGCCTAACAAAAGTTAAATGCGTCAAAGAGAATTGGTGGCAAATCACAAGAGACCTGAAAACATTGCAGGTGGTCAGAGAAGCAAAGAATTAGCCCTCCTTACAGGGAAGGAAAATGTAGACCCTAATAGGCCAGGAAAACCAACAAGGGCCCAACAAAAAGAAATGGAAAAAGAGACAAATGGATCCTCTTCCAAGGCCTTGCAACAAAATGGAAGAAATGGCCAAAACACAGCAGGCCAACGTGAACATATTATTGTGAGGGGAAATCAAAACAGTATGGGCTCTAACATAGCTAGACCACGTGAAGAGGAAAGGCTTGCCACAAATAAAATAAAATAAAATCACTTAGAGGATCCAGAGAGAACTCCTTATGGAAAAATAAATACAGTTTCTTCTTCCCATTATACTATACATGACCATAAAATCTTGGTGATGCATAATGATACGAAGGGAGATACTAATGTCAAACTAATGGAACAGGAAGGAAATTGACATTGACTACAACAGGAATATTTCAGTTGAACATCCCATTTAGGAAGATGCCAATTTGTTGAATGAGTAAGTGTTTCTTACTTCCCTCTTTTTGTTGATAAGCCTCATGATTATTGCCTCATGGAATTGTAGGAGTGCGGATAACAGAGGTTTCCCAAGCACCTTCAAAGAAATTGTTAAAAGAAATAACGTAGATATTTCTTACTTGATTGAAACTCAGATTAGTGGATGTTGTGCTGATAAAGTTATGAAGAAATTAGGTTTCTCTGATTGGATTAGATTGGAAGCCATAGGATTTGTAAGGGGCATATGGGTCCTTTGGAATGATGATATTTGTTCATGTTGAATATATCTTTTCAAATACTCAGCTTGTTCATTGCAGAATTATTGATAAGAAAACTCATGATTCTTTTGTTGTTTCTTTTGTTTATGGAAAGACGATTGCTATAAGGAGGGAACTACTTTGGCATACTCTAAAGGCTATTGTAGAGATAATTGATGAAGCTTAGCTAGTAGTTGGGGATTTTAACTATTATATGAATGTAACGGATAAAATGGGTAGAACCTCTCCCATATATTTTGCCATGTCAAAATTTGCTGGATGTATTCATCAGACTGGTCTTGTAGAGCTACCTGTAGTTGGAGAGAAATTCACATGGGAGAAGAAAAATGAGAAAGAACGATTGGACTGGGCATTTAGCAATGTTTTATGGGATATACATCACCCACAAACCAAGGCCTATCATCAAATAAGATACAACTTTGACCACAGGGTGGTAGTCATCTCTAATAGGCCAGTACCTTCTCAAAATGGACCTTTAAAACGAAGCTTTGAGTACCAATCTACTTGGATTCTTAAGGATAGTTTTTAAGAGGTAGTGTGCAAATCATGGGAAGGGGCAGAATGGTGTGATGGCATTTCTAAATTTGCAGAAGAGGCTACTAAATGGAATAACTCTATTGCGGGCAGCATTCCTAGAAAGAGACATAAGGTGCTTAGGAGACTTGAGGGAGTAGACCGAGCCAAGAAGAAGAAGCTAGCAGGTGGTCTCTAGAAACTGGAAAGGAAATTATGGCAAGATTATAGCAAACTAGCTGCTTAAGAAGAGTTGATATGGTACCAAAAATCTAGATGCAAATGGCTTCAGTGGGGAGACAAAAATACTAGATTTTCTCACATGTCCACTTTAATGAGAAGAAAGAGACAAACTGTTGAAGCATTGCAAGATGATGATGGTAATTGGGTTGTAGACCAACAAGAACTTTGGAGGATGGCAAGTGACTTCTTCCAAAGACTATATACCAAGGACAACAGTGTAAGCGAAGTCCTTCATTGGGATGTCCACTTTCCCACACTCTCCACACATGATTTTGAGCTTATTCATAAAGAAGTGAGTGACATTGAAATTAAAAATGCAGATTTCATGATGGGGGCCTTTAAAGCCCCAAGACTAGATGGGCTACAAGCTCACTTCTTTCACACACAATGGGATCATGTTGGTAGCAAACTTTGTGATTTTATCAAAGAAGTCTGGCAGAATTCGAGAAGAATTGATGAGATCAATAAAACCAACATAATCCTAATTCCCAAGGTTGATAACCTAGTGAAAATAACAAACTTCCAACTGATCTCGCTCTATAATGTAAGTTTCAAGATTATTACAAAGATCATTACTAATCAGCTTAAAGGAGCAATGGAGTATCTGATCCAACCTCAACAGTGCAGATTTGTTGGTGGGCGACAGAGTAGGGATAATATGATTATTACTTAGGAAGCCATACACACTATGAGAACAAAGACGGGGAAGAAAGGATTTGTAGCAATCAAAGTAGACATGGGAAAAACATATAATAGATTGGGTTAGGGATTTCTCAAGCAAACCTTATCTTGTGTTGGACTAAAAAATGAAATGATCAACCTCATTATGGCTTGTACCACTTCAGCCACAAGGAAAGTATCATGGAATGGCATTGAATCACAGGCCTTTCGACTGTCTCGAGGGGTGAGACAAGGTGACCCTCTTAGCCCTTATCTCTTTGTCTTGTGCATGGAAAGACTTGGACAGAAGATTACTAAGGAAGTCTCCCAGGGTCATTGGAAGAGTTTAAAATTCAGCCCTCAAGGACCATCAATATCTCATCTTTTCTTTGCAGATGACCTTTTGCTGTTTGGAGAGGCTTCTATGGAACAAATTGAAATTATGAGAAATACTATCGAAAGATTTTGTGATGTCTCTGGCCATAAAATTAGTCTAGCTAAATCTAAAGCTTTCTTTTCCAAAAATGTTAATCACAATAGAGCAACTGAAATGAGTCAAGCCTTAGGAATTGGGATTACAAGTGATTTAGGGAAGTATCTTGGAGTTCCCCTGCTTCACAAAAGAATGTTGAAGATAACTGCCTTAATTTGTCGCTTTGGGATTACTCCAAAAATTAACCGAATTAATGCAATATAATGCAAAACTCGGGTCGTTTCACTTTGAGGAGCCGAAAACGAAATTAAATCCTAGTAAATAAATGCAAGTAACCTAAACTATAAAAAAGATTTTTGATTTGATAATTGCTAATTAAATGCCATAAATTAAATTGAAATTAAAATACTTTTTTTTGTTTTTATATAAAAATAATTAAAATGAATGAAGATTAAAGAAATGAAAATGAGACACACAAGTAACAATGATAATAATCAATCCTCCAATTCAACAACGCAGGCAATCATCACTCTAAAAGATACGGGAGTTAAAACAATGAATTTAGAATTACAATTAAGCTTTTAATCCAACAATCAAGCCACCTCGAATTGTCACAAAATATTTTCCTAAAATCCCAACTTACTAACTGCAACCAGAATAATAAAATGGGATTAAGAATGCTAAAACCAGTGCTTAATTAGAACTCTTAAATCCAAAACAACAAAATTAAAGCTAGCAAGAGACATTATGATCCAAGATTCCAAGCTACCTCAGAAAATCACAATATATTAACTCCAAAATCAATACAAATGTCATAACCACAACATTATAATCAAAATCAAAGCTATAAACAACCCAATGTCAAATGCTAAGCAATAATTCAGTCACAATAATCTCCAAATATAATCAAATTAAGCAATACAATTATCCCAACAATCAGAAAAACTATCCTAAGACCTAGGAATTGTTAAATAATTATTGAGTAAGAAATTAAAGCAACTAAAACTCCCTTTTGATGATCTAAGCTCCTGCCATTGTTGTTGAATTAGAGAATTATAGACTCTAGCTTCGGTTTGCCATCAAGAACGCTGAATCTCTGTTTTTCTTGTTTGTGCCGTCAGCTCGCCGGTCCTTCTTTCTGCTTGTGGGTCTTCGCCTCCCTCTGGTTTTGCTGCGCCCAGGAGAAGAAGAAGGTGAAGGCGCCGGTGATTATGGACTGGACCGATGGAAGGACCTCTCTCTGTTCGTTCACGCTGAATCTCTCTCTGTTTTTTTTCTTTTTTCCGCCGCCCACCAGCTCGTTCCACTTCGTGCCTTCCGTCCAATATGAAGATGATTATTGGATATTAGGTTGGGCGTTTTGCTCCCCTTTTTTTTAATTATTTTTTTATTGTAATTTTTTCTTTTTTTTCTTTTTTTTTAAAATTTTTATTTTTATTTCTAAATCTTCCAAAAACCTGCAAACAAAATTTAAAGATAAGGTAGCATTAATTGTCCTCAAAAATCAATTAGTCACAATTAAACCAAAATATGACAATTTTGCCCCTAAAAAATAATAATTCAAAATAAAACATATTAAATCAATTAATAATCAATTAAGACCAAAAGGACTAATTAAGTTGACAAAACCCATATAAAAGATATCAAAATATATAAAAATAATTGAGTTTGTCAAATGTCAAAAATGACATATCTTCCTTTCATTCAGAAGGCCCGAAAAAGATTGGCTAATTAGAAACAGAATGTTCTAACCATGGTAGGGAGAACAATCCTCATTAAATCAATCCTTTCACCCTTGCCTAGCTACCAAATGCAAACAATGCTACTCCCTACTGGAATTTTAAAGGAAATTGAGAAAAGCAGTAGGAAATTCCTTTGGAATCAAAAAGAAGAAGGGAAGAAGATGCATCTTATACTGTGGGAGCAAGTTAAACAAGATAAAAGTAGAGGGGGCCTTGGAGTGAAGGACTTGAAATGCCAAAATATTGCTTTTATCATGAAACTTTGTTAGGATCTTTGACAAGACCTAAATCTTTGTGGGTGCAATGTCTATAGGATAAATATGGATGTGGAGATGATAGATGCCCTTTAATAATTAAAGGGGCAAATTCCTCTACAGTTTGGCGTAGCATTGTGACTATGTGGCCATTATTTTCTTTAGGGTTGGTAAAATACTTAAGGGAGGGTTGACCACGTATTTTTGGTGGGACCTTTGGACACCACTTGGAGAACCCCTTATAAATTTTGTGGAGAGAAACTTCCATTTGATAAATACATGTGCTAAAGTTAAGGACTTTGTCCTTTCAAATAGGTCTTGGAACATTGAGAAATGGAGGAACTTTCTGCCTCAGTGGATTATCAACAACATATCAAAGATAAACACCCCTAATGGAAATGAAGATGACTATTTCTGCTAGAGAAGTAGCAGTGATGGGAAATTTAATGTCAAATCAATGTACCAAATGGTTTTTCAATAGCATGATCAAGCTCACAGGGCTTTGTGGAAGAAAATGTGGAAAATTCTGGTTCCTGAGAAAATTAAGTTCTTCCTCTGGCAGGTCTTCCATAAGAGATTACCCACTAACTCACTCAGAGCTAAAAGAGGGATAAATGTCAATGAGAGCTGCCCCTTTGAGTGTCAAAGAGAGGAGAATATCTTACATATTCTACGAGACTGTGAAGTGGCTCGAAACATGTGGATAAACATTATTAGTCCTAACCATCTTGCAAATTTTTTTTGTTCTGACTTGCAAGTTTGACTTCAGGAAAACATGACAAAGGACATTAGCAATGCAAAGGTCTCACGATGGCCTTGGATAAAAGTTTTTAGTTTTATATGCTGGATCTTATGGAAAAAATAGATGCAAGGGTGTCATGGAAGGCGTAAGAGCTCAAGAATTAGAGATTATTCATTTAGGTCTTCATCAACTTATGGAATCAACAATCCATGGAAAATTTAGACATCAGATCTTCCAAATAGGTGAAGAGATAACGAAATGGTATCCACCACCAAAGGGCTACTTTCGTCTAGATACAGATGGTTCTATGAATCCTCAAAGGCATGCCTCCTGTGGCGGATTAATCAGGAATCCAAAAGGAGATTGGGTCTTAGGATTTCAAAGAAAGCTTGGATGTATACCACCAACGTGTGCAGAGCTTTTAGGAGTGGTAAAAGGACTCCGCATTTGTAAACAACAAGGTTTCAACAAAATCTTGGTATATACTGATTCTCTTGAAGTGATTCATTTGCTGATGGCGGATTGTGGAACAGACCATCCGTTTAAACTTGAAATTGGAGAAGGCAGGAGGTTAATCTACTCTGATTGGGATATTGAGGTTTGACATGCACCACGGGAAACCTTATACTGTGCAGATTTTTTGGCAAAGGACGCTCATCAACGGGAGGAAGATATGACACTGCTTTTGGAACCACATCCTGGATGTAGAAATCACCTTCAAGCAGACGTGATGTTGTCTTAAGCCTCTTAGCTTAGCTTCTTTTGTCAAGTTTGTAACTTGCCCGATTATATATTTAAAACAAAAAAAACGCACTGTTAACGAAATTCCTACCTTCTTCAATGCTAGCTCTATTAACTGTATACCGTCCGCGCAAATTTAAATTTTTTCAAACGGATTCAAGATTCTTTGCTTTAATATAATATATTTTTTTATAAGTCTAAAAATGTTTATTTTATTCACTATTCAATTTCATTGGTCAGGAATGCGAAAAAAACTTGTCCATATGACATCTATTTATTTCAAAACTATGAAAAAACTAAAAAATTATTTATTTATAATAATGTAGTTTTTGAATAGTAATAAGCTTTTTGGTTAAAAAAAGGGTGGAAAAGTTTTTTAAGTTAACATATTTGATAGTGTTGACAACTAATTTCTTGACGTTGAGTTTTTGCTTAGGTTGGTATTCTTGTTTTCTTTCTCTATTTGATTATTCTTTTGTCCAAAGATTATGTTTTGGTATTTCCATTAATGTTATGATAAAGTTTCCTCTGTAAACGGATTGAGTGATGCTCCAGTCATAATTAGTCAATATTGATATCTTTCTTTTGTTTGAGAATTACTACCTCCGGTCCTTATTATAAGACCCCTTTTGACTTTTAGTTTGGTCCTAATTATAAGACCCCAATCCATTTTGTCTCTCATATTTACTCAATTTTTTCCAAGATAATCTTTCTAATAATTATAGTTTTAATTTATACACTTGATTAGTAAGGATATTTTAGGAAAGACAACACCTATTTAAGACAAATAACTAACTTAACTTACTTCCTTAATCTCCTCAAATTAATCAACTGGCTCTTATAATTAGGACCGGAGATAGTAGTATATTTCTGGCCACTAGCGAAGTTTTTGCACCTGAGGTAGAAATCTTAGTAATAAGCTGTAATGTGTAACTTTAGGAATAAGAGTGAAGTTCAGTTTTGGTGGAAAAGGAATTCAGAAGGTGAACAATATAATACAGGCACACTAATGGGAGATGAATCCAACAACAACAACAAAAAATCCCTCGTAACATAGAAAACCAATATTGAGATGAACATATTTAATACTAAAAGTATTTTGAATAGAATTGCATCTAATGAAGGAATAACTATGCGCAACAAACCAAAAGAAAAAGTATGGTATAGGTACGGTTTGAGTGTTTCAACTTGGGCATCCTCCCTCCCACCTTCGGGCTGAAGCGGAAATGGAATGTTATCTTCTTCATTCACTATTATGTTTAAATCTCCAAAATTACATATTTGGGTAAGCTCATTTTTTTTTTTTGGGGATCATTTGTGTAAGCTGTTTTGCTTACTGATTTCCTATACAATATTTGCCAAATCATTAGTTTTTTTGCCACTTGAATTGAATGTATTCTATCAAATCACTGGTTAATAGTATTTGAGTTTCATATGCACCTGTGTTAGCGCCAGGTGAATTAAAATATGAGAGCGGTTTTCACATTAAAAATATTTATATATGTAAAATAATTATATCAGATTCATTTGAAACAAGAAGTAGAAATTAAACTATTGAAAGTTAGTTAATGCTCAATTTTCAAACAAAAGGTCGTTCACTGTAGAAGAGTAACACAAATGTGCGACATATATAAATTATAAATACTACCTTCGGTCCTTAATATAAGACCCTAATCCACTTTGCTTCTCATATTTACTCAATTTTTACCAAGATAGTCCTTCTAATAATTATAGTTCTAGTTAATACACTTGATTAGTAAGGATATTTTAGGAAAGACAACACCTAGTTAGAACAAATAACTAACTCAACTTATTTCCTTAATCTCTTTAAATTAGTCAACTGGCTCTTATAATTAGGACCGGAGGTAATACGTAATTTAACTAAATTTCTTAATTTCAATCAATTAGTTGAGAAGATTGTGTGTCAATCACCGATGGAGAAAGAGTGCTTGGCTGGCACACATGTTACACGTTTTATCAACTAAATAAATGATACTCCTCCTGTCCTTAATATAGAATCTAATTGTTGAGTTGGTTTTGATCCTAAATATAAGACCCATTTCTCATATTTATTAATTTTTTCTAAATTATCCTTATGGATACCCCTTCAACCATAATCAAGTAGAAAAGAAAGCGTGGGTATTAAGAAAGATGATTATGGTATTTTAGGAAAAACGTGTCACATTTCTTATAATTAACTAACTTACCTAACTTCCTTAATCTAATCAAATTAGTTAAATGGGTCTTATATTAAGGATCAGAGGAGTAAATAATATATGTTCAATTATTTGTAATAAATAATTTCATTTAGAGTAAAAGAGCATGAGAAATTATGCTGTCTCATTAAAACATAATTTTTAGTCTTACTATTTTTCACTCTTATATATATTTTGACAGCATATTTTAACTTTTCAATATAAACAAAATAATTATTAATATATAAACATATTTGGCCAAATTTGTTATTTTGTACAAAAGCTAACCATTCAAAAATTGATGTATTCTTTTCTTTTTCTTTCTACTCATTCAGGGATTCTTCCTATATCCCAGTAAAATTCTTTCAGTACAGAGCATAATCATGGATAGGGAATTGTACCAGTGACCAACCTAATTTTATTGTCAAACTTTTAAGAATCAATTATTAGACATTTAGACCATGCAGACTAGAAATTACTGGTATCCCTATGTTTTCTCATGTTTTCAATAAAACCTTCTCCAAAAAGTATCGTAACAATGTTTTCAGTGATGCTAGTAGATAGTATTCGAACCGTTTTTTTCTATTCATGTCAGCATTTCGTATGGTGGTTACTATGTTAATAATGGGCAGACATTGTTGAATTAGCTGACAGAAGAAGCGAATGGTATTTTGATTTAAGTTTGCCCAATCCTCGCTCTAAGGGCTAAGCGCTTGATAGCCCTATTTACCCTTCAAAATTGGGAACCCACGGGCTTTTAAGATTTTCAATGCCCATGTTTCCCGAAGCGATATATGATCCTAACTTTTTTGGCTAAAAAATAGGAAAAATGACAACAAAATACCACCTGAATTTCAAAAAGACAAATAAGGCACCTAAATAATCAAAATGACATATAAGGGACTGGGTACCAATCTGGAATTCAGATTTTTGGCCAAAAGACCAAAATGCCCTGTCTGAAAGTGAGAGGAAGGAGAGAGGAAGGAGAGAGGAAGACGTTGATGAAATACGGGAAGGAGAGAGGAGGAAGACGCTGATGAAATCGGGAAGAAGAGAGGAAGGAGAGAGGAAGACGCTGATTTTCGATGGGTTTCCACAGCTTAAAATGTTATTGCCTAGCATTTCTCTAAAAAAATTTGGTTCTGTCTCTGTTCTTCGCATAAAACCATTTTTAGAGAATGTGAAGCTGTGGGAAAGATAAAGCGAAAATAAGAAAACAATGACAAGCAATTACGTAACGTAACTGCTGTCATATGCCTGCTGGTTTTTGGTAAATCTCATTACGTGAGTGGTAAATTTCTCTGAAAATGGTTTTATGCGAAGAACAGAGACAGAACCTAATTTTTTTAGAGAAATGCTAGGCAATAACATTTTAAGCTGTGGGAACCCATCGAAAATCAACGTCTTCCTCTCTCCTTCCTCTCTTCTTCTCGATTTCATCAGCGTCTTCCTCCTCTCTCCTTCCCATATTTCATCAACGTCTTCCTCTCTCCTTTCTCTCACTTTCAGACAGGGCATTTTGGTCTTTTGGCCAAAAATCTGAATTCCAGATTGGTACCCAATCCCTTATATGTCATTTTGCTTATTCAGGTGCCTTATTTGTCTTTTTGAAATTCAGGTGGTATTTTGTTGTCATTTTCCCTAAAAAGTATGGGTTGTGATTTTTAAGTTTTAATTATATATTACTAAATAATATTTTTTAGGAAAAAAATAGCGAACAAAAAGGCGCCTATATTAGAAGACGCATTCAGTTCCCAGCCGGAATGCGTTTACATACTTGTGTTAAAGATGAGCACTTAAAGCTAATCTTATCTAGACCGTTAAAATGAGATTTAGGTAGTGCAGATTTAATTTTTATCTTTTTTATTTTTTTTAAAATAATCATATTAATAAATATAATATTTAAAATAAAAACGATTTATTAACTATCACTTTTTTTAAAAAAAAATTTTATTATATAAAATAATTAATTAAAAAAATCTAGAACATTCAAATTAGATCTTAATTGTCTAAAGGTCCAAAGGTTTTGAGCCGTGCTCATCTTAGGATGTGTTTGGATGCTGTTTGGGTGCTCAAGCTGCATCTCAAATAGGAAAGCTGGAGTTATGAAATTTAGGGGATGTTTGGCAAGTGGTAAAAGTGCTTTTAAAAAGTACCTTTTTACAAATTAAGGTAAACTCTTCCACATATTTACTTCGTATACCGTAAAATTACTTTTAAAATTATAGTTTGGTATTCATTCAAACACCCCCTTAGTAGTAGTGTTTAGACCTTTTAGCAATTACAGGACTTCTTGACTTGAATTGGATTTCTATAATAAGTTGCTCTAAGTTGCTTTTTCAGTTGTCAACTAGCTTGTGCTCCCCGTGCATTGCACGGGAAGCATTCATTTCCAACCTAATACTAAAGTATGTCAAATAGTAAAAATATCAAATATTAAAACCAGGAGGAAATATACTAAAAATTAGAAAGAGAGTATTATATTTAAGGAGGGAGGGAATAAATCGAAGTTTTTTTAATGTCCTCTTTGACCCTTTTTCAAATTCAAACACCTATGATTAAGTGTTATTTTCCCTCTCATCCTTCTTTTAATTTGGAACTTTGATTAAATCCATGCCTTCTCCTTTATCTTTATCTCACACTCCCGTATCACCCATGTGATGCACAA